GGATCGGGCGGGGAGGGAGGGCATCTTTATCTTTTGTCTGTGCAGATATGCAGATATGTAGATATGCAGGCAAGATAGAGGGAAAAAAGCTCGGCTTGTTCAAGGTGATTTGATTGGATTGGTGAGACTTGAGGGGGCCAAGACGGTGTGCTCCGAAAAGGCAGGTAGTTAGGAGGTTACATTAAGAATGATAATATGCCACTAGGTATGGAGGTATGGAGGTACGGAGTTGGAGCGGGCAAAACCGAAGATTAGGTTAGAGTTGAAAGGACGGGCAGCCGAGGCAGGGGGGGGCGGTTGAGCACTATATCCACTATACCTATCCACTATATCGTATGGAGAAAGACAGTGCGTGATATTGACGACCGGTTATCTTTCTTTCCTTATTATTACTTACACCATTTGACTGACCCGTTGATAATGCCAAGGATCTTGGCCTATCAGACAAGCTTTCCCACGGGCGAGCCGGCTCTACAGGCTCTACCGGCTGCGCTTACCTTCGTATCCCGCCTTCCATCACTCTTCTAGCGTCGGATGGCGTCGCTATACAACATGCTGAATGAATTGTCTGATCATGATAGGTAAAGTACCTTAGGTAGGTAGCTCATTCTGATGTCCCGCCTTCCTATCATCTCCCACCCTTCCACTACTCTACCTACATGAATATTATTGTTCATTCAACAGCCCTTCCAAGTCCGTGTGATAAGAGACGATCCCCGAACGGAGATCCCGATGGGAGGCAAAAGATGCAACCCTCCGTTTGCCTTTGGACGGGCCTCGCCATCCTCGCCATCCTCAAGTCCTCGAGCTGAAAACATCTTTCTTTCATATGCTCCAGGAACAACCACATGACATCATGTCATGTGTAGTAAAGTGATCCCAGCATGCAAGCTTGTCGTTGTTCCAACCATGCACATCGCCAATCAGTATAATCCTAATCGCGAACCTTAGCCGGTGGGGTACCGTCTCAGAAACCTCCAGATAGGTTGGACAATATAAGTACTCATTTGTTAAAGATTTCCACGAATGGCTGTAGTCTGGAGATACTGGACAGTAAAGTAACTGGTAGCATCGCCAATGCATCGCTTATCTACCCTACCGTGCAAGCGCTATGCATCTCCTTATTCGCTCCAAACCCCCCTGCTTGCTGCGTAAGTAGAGATGCCTACCGATGCCAAGTCGCCGTGAACAAGGAAACCCATACGTACGGCGCCTATTGCACCCCTCCTCTTCCCTTCTTCCCCTACCCCCTCACAGCGACCTCAGTGCCCACTACCTGAGTCGCCATTCGAAAGCGTATCCGTTCCTGTCCCGTCGCTTCCTGTGTTCTCTTTCCCTCCCAATCCCAAGCTCGCCATGCGATCTCTTTTCGGCGTACTTTGTGCCTTCCCATTCAGCGCTGCTTTTGGAGACTTGCTGTTGTTTGCACCAATACCCTTCTTCTCCGCATCCGCTGGCTTCGTTTGGCTAAAGTCCTTCCATTTGCGCCAGCCATCGAAGTCGATGAGCGCTTGCATGCAGCCCCATTCCATCACTTTGCGCGTGAGCCATTCAAAGTTCACAGGCTAACAGCATGTCAGTATGCTGGCTACCCAGGCTCCAGAGGGGAAGCGAGAAGAGGATACCTTGGTTAAGAAGTCGTTGCACCCCGCCGCTAGGGCTTCATGCCTGTCACTCTGCAGCGAACTGGCCGTGAGAGCGACGATGATGACCGGGCTCTTGAACAATGCCGTATTCATCAAGCTATCTTCACCTCCGACAGTCCCATCAATGCCTGCACCCTTCGGAAAGGTAGGGGTGCTTGATGCGCTGTTCGAGAAGACGCCAATGCTGTTGACGCGCTCCAACCGCCTGATCTCTTTCGTCGCATCCAGCCCGTTCATGACTGGCAGTTGAATGTCCATCAGCACCAAATGATATCCACCCTCGCGCCACTTCGTGACAGCATCTCTGCCGTTCATGGCCGTGCTCCAGCGCACTTTTAGACGCTTCATGAAGGCTTCCAGGAGACGGAGATTGATAATATTATCTTCCACTATGAGGACGTTGATGGGAGGCACTGTGGTGTTTGCGGGTTGTGGGGCTTGGTCGACCGGCTTTTTGGTGCGTTTGTTGTTGTTGGGTTTGGGACGAGGGGAGGCGACTCGGGGCGGCGGCGTGGCAGTTTTGTGGGGTGTCATTTCCTCTGGAATCGGCGGTGTGGGCATTGGCTGTTGAGAGGCTTTCAGGTTTTCTGGTTGACGTTAGCCAGGACTCGATGCGTGAAGCGACCGGCGGTCTGGGCTTACCATGATTGAGAGCTATGGATGCTGTCTGTACGACGGTGGGAGAGGAGGTATGCTGTCGTCCGTATCTGGGTCTATTATTTTGAGAATGCCGGGCCCTACCGCCGGGGGATGGTAAGTTTGGAAGTTGTCCAGTAGTCAAGATAGCCATTGAATGTGCTGGTGGGTGATGAGAGCCTCCTTGTGCGCTGGAGACGGAGAGGCTGGTGGGAAGATGAGGCGAGTGTTGCGCTGCTGACGGCATAGGCGGGAAGTAATCCGTGCCATTCTCGTGTGGTCTGAGATCCTCGGGTAGATAGTATTGCATAGCCATCCGTGGTGAATGTCTTGGTGTCTGCCGTTTTGGGACGTCAATCATCAGAGCCTCCTCAACTGACTGACCACCAGGATAATGAATTTCGATAAGTTTCAGCATGGATTCTTCAGGACCAAGCGTGCGCTCACTGTTGGAATGCCTAGCCGACTGCTTCCGGTACACTATGCGTAGCGTAACATCTGGTGGATCGAAGTTCCGCCCCAAGGAGTTGCTGTACTTCCTCAGTATCGTATCCCTCACATCATCCACTAGATCATCTTCCTTGATGGCGACCTGTGTTGCAGAAGAGCCAGGCCTCTTCACCCATATCTTCTTAGGTACCATATCGGCACTGACCGAAATGCCTCCAAAATAATCTGTTTTCGTAGGCTGTAACGCTGGGCTTTGGGATCCCAACAGACTCGATATATCCTTTGACTGTTCTTGATGTGTAAGAGACCTTCTCCTGTGTGCTATCCCTGGGCGCTGAGAGCCAATTGTAGTCCCCGCATCTGTCCCAGCCAAGTGCCCTGAGTCTCGTGGAGATGACTCCTCCTCAGGTGCTTTTCCTGATCGCGTCCCCAGTTTCGGCGTAGGTGCCTCGACCGTCAATATAGGGTTCTGCTTTTCCAATGGCGGCGACCGCGGTGTTTCAGGGCTTGTATCTGGCGTTTCTTTTTTATTCCTCCTCGTAAACCTCGGTTTTTCTGTTGGCGTTAAAGGCAGTGCACCAGGTGGTTGTGGCAGAGGCTCGTTCTCTTCGAAAACCGATATAGGCAAGGAAGGTTTCCGATTTTTGGAGAGCCGGAACGAGCCTTTACTCCAGGTGTGGCCGTCACCGAGAGCGTCGCTGGTGGTGGATGAGCCTGAAGCCGAAGATTTAGTGGAGGAGAAGGTAGAACTCCGGCGGAACAGGGGCTTCAGTCGCGCTGAGAGTTCTGTCATGACATCTTCTCCACCGTCCCACGTCCGTCTGGAAGTCGAATTTGCTTTCTCTTTTGTGGACGTGGGGGTCCCTAAGCAGGATGATGTCGTTGGACGCAGCTCCTTGTTTTCGATTATTACTTTTGGGCTCTTCCGTCACGCGCGCCGTCTTGCCAGCGTCGGATTTTTTGGCTTGGCAATTTCAGAAATTAGGAAGGATTTTATGCTCTTGTAAAAGATATGAGGGATGATTCTACGCGTCTAATGTCTATCTCTAGCTTGTGATTACCTTTTCATGGTATTGCAAGGAATCTTCCTTGAATACCTGATTCTGCTTGGAGTACGGAGTATGCGGCGATCTTTTGCGCTTCTTGAATCGAGGTTACTCTGCAAGCTGTTGCGGGCAACTTCTGATCTTCTGAACATTAACAGTATTTCGTTTACAACTTCGAGGCAGACTTTGATGAACCTTGCAGAAGGTAGTGATGGGGAAATAACATCCCGGGACCTCGACGAAGAAGATACAGCTTAACGTGGTCTAGGGTCTGAGATTCTATTGACTGACGTTGGGGCCTACCTCCGTGGAGCAAGCGCAAATTGCGAAGCTGCGCGCAGGAAGCGATGAGCCCAATGAGGTGTACAAGTTAGGCCATTCATGGTTTCTAATCTCACAGCAGGCCCATCCTTACCTCTACACATGTATCTTCCTCGCCATTTCCAGCGTTTGATGCATGGCATACATTCCCTTACAAAATACTACTTTAAGCTCATCAATCTTCTCTGCACAAGCCACCGCTTGTAACTTCATCTTCGTTCCACCACCAAGGCGAAATTGCCCAAGCAGCCAAAACAGAAGAAGGGGCTGAGCCTGACCCAGGACCAATCCATCAGTATATCAGCTACCTCAACCAAACATTGAGCTTGCTCTGCACTGTCGATGTCGTGAGCTTCGAAGAAAAGCGAACAATCTTCGTCCCGATTGTATGCTTGGCCAACGCATCCGTTCAATTACAAATCTGCTGCTTATCACTCTCGGCTTGATTTTCCAGAGTTTTGAACCTTGCAAGATGGGTCCGATGATCCCCATCGTCATCGCTCGTGGTATGTGTCTACAACCGTGTTATCTTCATAATCATGGCCGGTGACGTGTAAGGAAAGGGTATAGTCTCTCAATGAAGCCAATGTCGAGAGCTCGCGGCTTCATCGTCTATTAGCACCTAAGTTGTAGGGGTCTAAGCTCCCTTCTGCCTGTACCCCAGAGCGAGCCGCAGGTACGTTAGAAGGGTTGGTTGACCCGTATTATCGATCTGTTCAATGCACGTATAACCGTATTGCCAATCCGCTAATGCGGTTACCGATCGAGAGATGATCAGAATAAGATGGTCAAGATGTCACAACATATTCAGCGAAGACAACCTCAAATCACACGCGTCTTCTGTCTCAGTGACGCCTTTCGGGTTTTCTCAGCCTCGAAGACAGGTATATATCTGCCCAACATGAAAGTTATCGTCATTGATCACTTTGGTGGACCCGAAGCTCTCGTCTTCAAGGACCTTCCAGAACCGGAGCCGAAAGCGGGCCATGCTATTGTCCAGGCGAAGGCCCTTGGCTTGAATCACGCCGAGTCGCACATGCGCAAGGGCGAGTGGCCCGAGTATATGCCTGTCACTGGTCTGGAGTGTGTCGGTTCGGTGACTGCATGTCCGGGCGGGGAGTTCGCCGCCATCATGGGTGGCCTAGGTCAGTTGATTCCGGGGACGTACGCCGAATACACCAGCGTTCCGGTATTGAACCTGCTGGGCATTGAAACCTCGTTGCCTTGCGCCGCGATTCCAGAGACTAATGCCTGCGTGGTCAACCGTCTTCGGCATCCTGGAGTTAAAGCGTGGGCAAATTTTACTCATCCGTGGCGCTACCTCAGCGCTCCGCCAGGCCGCTTGCCATCTCGCCGTTCATACTGGAGCCATCGTCACAGCTACCTCACGTTGGCGGGAACGCTTCCCACAGATGCAGGCGATGGGTGTCCATGCTGCCAAGCTCGAAGGCCCGGACTCGGTACCAGAAATCGCCGCTTCAGACTTGAGGTTCGATGTCGTTCTGAATTTGGTAGGAAACTCCGTCCTTATCGAGAGCATGGCGATCGTCCGTCGTGGAGTTCCTTTGTGCCAGGGCGGATGGCTGGGTGGCTTGGGACCCACTGTGGGCTTCAATGCAATGACTCAGATGGCCACTGGCATCCACTTCAGTCTCTTCCACAGCAAGGACTTGGGCACATCGGATTTTCCACTTTCAGATGTGCCGCTGCAGGAGATCGTACGACGCGTTGAGGAGGGAGATTGGAGTACCAAACCATCGCATATCTACGATTTTGCGCATATTCACGAGGCGCATAGAATGTTCGATTCCGGACAAGCCAATGGCAAGCTTGTTCTTCGGATGTGAAATTATGCAAGATGATCTAGGAGCAGGTGGAGCGAGCGAGGAAGGAAGGGATTTGAATGAGAGAGTAGAAAACGAGGGGTTGAGGGTGTAGAGGAAGACAAGAGAGGTTGCTGATGTGGAAAGGCTTCTCGAATCACTGACACGTAGGTAACAACAACAACAAAGAATAATTAAAGGAATACATTGAAATTCTCTATCTTCCATGCAGAGCTGTGAAACACAGGTTCTAATGATGCATGATTTCTGTGCACAGATTTCTATGCGCGCATTAGGAGTTTACTTACGGAGTATAGTCGAAAAAATGTCGGTTTTTGTGCCGACAGATTCAGTTGATTGACAACATGATTTCCAGATGTTGGTTGGTCTACGTCAGCGGCAGAGGGAGAGATTGCAGTCAGTCATCTCTAGGTCCATCGTTCGAATCGGTGAACCGACTTTTTGCATATGAGACTATCCTCTTGTTGATTTGCACTACAGATCTCTTCTGATCTTGATTTTCTAGTTTGGAATGATATTAGACTTTTCGTGGCAGGAGTATGCAGGATTCGTGAGGAGGAAGGGTTGTGGCAGGGAGCTAGGGTACAGATGCTCTCGTAAGGTTGTGAGAATATTGGTTTCATGTCTTATCCCTATCTGTAGTCCAGACCGTACGGATAACCATACTCGATAAATTTTTGTAGAACCAATCTTTCAAACAAGCCTACATTTTCATGCTGATCGATCGAATATTGACTTCAGCCAAGTTCCCTACTCCTCCCACAATTACCAATTCTCCCATACGACATCTGGCAACACAGTCCTCATAAGATACCAATGTCCAGCAGCACTAGCCATAGTAGACTTCTGCATCTCGCGACTGATATGGTCTCGCCTGAGTATCTCTCCCTTCTGCCGCCTGCCCGCTTTGAAATAGCTTGCGGGTATCTCATGTTGCGGTTTGAGGTGTTGTCGCCTTGCCGGGCTGCCTAGAAAGTCCGCTTCGACAGGATCTCGGAATGTGAATGCTTCTGGAGATTTTCTGCAGAACATGACCATGTTGGTGTAGTCCATCGCCTCTGGAGCTTTGGGGAGTGGTGATTCGCGATACAGGCGGCATTTTGGAAAGATAGATTCTACGGTGCGGACGACTGAGGTGGCGATGGGGAGGAGGAGGTCGCCGGCGTAGTTCTGATTTACGTCAGCCTGGTTTCAGAGCGGATAAGTCCAAATTTTTGGTCCTTACTATAGCAATGATCCCATCTGGTCTAAGTAAGTCACTCAAGCCCATAATAAATTCCCTGGTGAAGAGATTGATAGGTTCTGCGCCCCCAGTAAAGACGTCGTGGATGATATAGTCGTAAGTATTTCTCATTTCCTTCGCTTTTTGCATGTCACCAACAACCTTGGTAGCGTCCCCTATGACAGATGTATGGTTGCGTGGGAGATCGAAATACTTTGTAGCAAAGTCGTGCACGACTCGATCGATCTCAACCGTCGTGGTATGAACTCCATGAGCGATGAGTGCAGCTGGTGCTGTACCGATGCCTACACCTCTAAAATGCAAGGTTAGTCAGTAAGGCTTTTTATATCTGCCACGCAGAACACTTACATGACAAGTGCATGTCTCTGCTTGCTTGTCGCAACTTGCTGGCTTCCTGAAGACTTGGTTTGTAGAAGTCTTACCGCTTCCAAGGTGAGGAATATTGTGTAGACCGGCTCGTTATATTTTGAGCCCCTAGGCCTGTTGAGATACTCTCCACCCAAAAGGCTGTGATCACAACGCATGACACGATATCCTGCATTGATATTGTCCAATACCGAGATGTAGCCGGTCAAGGATTCTTGGCGAGCCACAAGGGAATATCCTTCAGCTCGGAGGGTACTGTTAAGCACGTCGGTGTTGTATGGCAATGGAAGATGAGGACAAACAAATGCAAGGTGAAGTAATGGAAGAATGGCGGTTAATACCAGCTTGAACCGCTCGAGTGATGCGCCGAGTTGCGTGTACAAGAGGGCCATTACAGTCTGAAGACCAAACCGGCTGAATATCGCATGCGTACCAGATGTCAACGTCATAAGCAACGGGAGCCGGTTCTCTAAATACGTTTTGATTCGGGCTAAAAAGTGGTACAGAGTGCCTGTCAGTAAAAGCGTCCCCAGCCCACTGCTGCAAAACTCGATCAGGCTGCGAGTTGCTGCTCCTTCGACGAAAATCGCAAGAGGGAATGCTTCTGCAATCAGATTCACGAGATGCAAGAGAGAAAGGCAGGAGAGAGGGACAGAGGTCAAAAGATAGGTTGTGCGAGGACCCCAAATTGGGCCGAATCTTCCACTGACGCTGTAAAGACCCGACTGCATGGAAGGGACAAAGAAACCCCATATCGCAAAATGTTTCGAGAGTCCTACAGTGCGCTTGCTGAAGAACATCTTTGCCAGGGAAACAGAAATTATCATGGCGATGTAGCGTTGATCGTGCTCAAGGCCTCCGCGAAGCCAATCAAGACTTGCTATGGGAGGGATCGAGCCGTAAACAGGGGTCAGGGACAGCTTGGAGACTTCTGCAGACACAGCAGCGAGGAAGAGAGTCGCTAATGTCGTGAGAAGGAGCCTAACATATGGCCACAATGTCCTTGTTTGAGCATTGTTGTTTTGCGTCAGTGGAGGCGCTCGTGCATTCGCTCTCTGCCCACGAGGAGGCATTTTGATCAGTCTCGAGACTGGGAGAACGCAATGGGTTGAAATTTGATGCAGCACCTGATGCGCCGTTTTGAGATGTTCAGGATGATGGATCTCTTGTTGACGTGATTCTCTGAGGTCAGTGTCTCAGCCTTGTGGGGTGGAAAATAGGTTCTCGGCCAGAATCCCAAGCAGCTTGCCTCGTTCTGGGGCCCAGTGTGAATATATGGGCCCTGGCCTAAAGAGCAAATCCATTGGCATCGTCCATGTTTGTGTACTTACAGATACGCGCGACGCGTATTTGGGCTATTCCTCATCCGTCTGCATTGATATTTCCACGCCTCCTCCTAGTCCTTTACCGTTATCATCGCCAAGGCCACTGATTATTGTTTCAGTGCTCGTCTCTGCATTCTTGCAATAAATGGCTACAGAGGCGTTCCTTCAAGATAAAGCTGGCCTTGAGCCTGAAGATACACTATCGTTACCCATTCATCCATCGGCACGTCCTTCTCGCTCCCCAAGCTCGAAAGCCCGCATCACAATCAAGAACCGCCGAAAACGCTACCTAGACACCCACCCCGAATACTTCTCCTCTCCAACCCTCGAGCTCGCAGGTCTGCCACATACACCAATATGATGGGGCATGTCACTGATGGCACCAAGACCCTCTTGCCTACGACCGCCTAGTCCGACAGTTCCAAAGCCCCGGCGAACGTGAAACTGAAGGTCGCAAAAAGGGATTCTCGGGCGTGCTAGAAGCTGATCTGTGGCGTTCAGAAGCCAAGGTTGGCGCATTGGCCAATGCAGACCATGCGGCGGTGATGAGATACAGAAGGGACGCTTCTGGGAATATTTTGGCCGAGGAGAAGGATGACGTCCCGAAGAACAAAGAGGAGGGCATACAGAGATGGCGAAAGGAGATGGAGCTGATGTTCCTAAGGGGTGCTGATCCGGATTTTGACTACAAGGAAGTGGATGAAAGTGAAGATTATGATGATAGAGGGGTCCAAGAGAGGGAAGAGGAGGAAAGATGGTTCGAAAAGGAGGAGCCGAGTTGGGTTGAGGAAAGTGATGAGGATTCGGGGAGAGCTGAGGGTCTTACAGGCCAGACTGGTGTTCAAGATTACTGAGACTACTATCCATCAAGTCGAGGAGTATCAGGCCTTGCGCTTGATGGACCGGCGAGGCCTGCGAGAAGTAAGGCATCAGATGTCTACCATGGGGTCGACCTTAGCAAATTACAAAATGATGGATCATCTCAGCTGTCGTAGAGAATTGAGATGGGGATGCCAATGGAGCCAGGAAGAGATTCACCAATCAGCTTCGGAGCTCAGTACCAGTACAACATGTCGATACGGGCTTTATGCGCTAAGAGTATGCGAACGCTTGGTCATAGCTCCATTCTCTACGAAGATCATCATCCTCCGTTCCGGCAAGAGGGAAATGCGGCATTGGCGGCCTCCGGCAAATTGGCATTATCACAATTCTAAAGTACGAATCCACGAGTGCACATGGAAAAAGCAGAGTTTCTTCATCCCACCATCTCCCTCGCCTCGTGACCGTTGATCGGCATTTTCAAACTGTCGGGACGCACCAATGCTGCAGGTTACCGCCAATCGTGGACGCCTTGATCAACGACCACCTGGGATAATGCTGGCCTGACATTTTCAGGCGTCAGTTGGCGTGCTCTGAATGGACGAGTAAGGGAGCAGAATGGGCAGGTCTTGGCAAGTAAAAGGAGCATGGGTTGCTTTTCTGGAACCGAGCGAGGGGTACCTAAGGTAAAGACTAAGGTAAAGTACCACAGTAGCAAAGCTTGTAAGGCTTAGGGCGGGGTAATCAGCGATAACGATCTCGATGTAGAGTATCTTTCCTACCATGTACCTTCCCCTCTTTTGAAAAAGAAGAAGAAAAAAGAAAGAGAAAATAAAGAAGAGAAAGAACGCGCATGTTACACAGCTGTTACACAATGAATACAATGGCGGCCACTACTGACATTGTCTGTCATTAAAGATCGCCTTCAATATCTACGGTAATAATGCGAAACAAACACGACACGGAGCGTACCTGCCGCTACTGCAGCAGTCAGACCTTTGAATGTGAGACAATTATCATCCACTACATGCCGTAGGTATTGTAAGGTAGAGCTTCCAAAATTGTAGAAGAATGGCACTTGGACAACTTCAAGACAGTCGCTTCAAGGCAGCGTGCTCTCCCCATTTTATGCGACAGCGAGAATTCATCGAACCAATCCTTTGGGTTTCCCGCATCGTCCCAGATATCATGCAGCAAATCGAAAAAGACCAGAAAAATCGAGGCATCCTTTCCCTTTTTCCTTTTCCCTTTTCCCATTTCCCATCCTTCACAATCATGAAGCCGAGTCCGAGTCCCCGCCAATTCTTTAGCTCGCCTTGGAAATTCCTGGGGTTCTTGGTTGGCTCCCGCTTGTCAAGAAGCCACCTTCTTCCCTCTTTTTCCTCATTCTCTTCAACTCCCCCCCATCCCATCCCATCCTTATCTTCTGCCTTTCAACTGCACATTTTCACACTTTGCTTCACCTTTTGCCAATACATTCATCATTCAGTCCCTTTGAGTATTCCAACCTTCAGCATCTAACACATCCGACTCTCGATATCAACCCTATCAAGCACCTTCTTTCGGCTACCTATCTCCAGCCTAGCCAGCCTAGAACTCGAGATCGTCCGTTCCCGAGGGGGTCCGCCAATTCATCCCACGACTGCTAAAAGCTGCCCCTTGACACACTCGGATCACCTCTTGCCCACACCAACTTGGGAGGATCCGGGAGAGCCTCATCCAATTGGTCCATTCAAGTCAGCTCCAGGAACGCAAACAATATAGACGGCTACCTTTCATGATTGCGAGCTTCTGACAGAGCAAGGCGCACAGCAGACGCAAAGGAAGAAAAGAGGCTATCAGCGTCTGCGCGAATCAACAGCCTTCCGTTATCGACGCCATCTTCGATCCCTGCCAACAGCTCCCACACCACTGGCAAAGCACCCTTCTTCCCCGCCCCGGTCGCATTTTTGGCTCTTGCCTACTTCCTCAAGCGCGCCTTTCTCTTTCCCTTGACTCAACGCTCTCTCCAATTCCCATCCATAACGCTCGTTCAGTAACTGCGGCCTTCTCGACGACCTCCGGCATACACTCCCACCTCCACAGAATCCGCATCTAAAGGCCGTTGCATACTCTCGTTCGACACACCTTCACACGCCCCGTTAGCCTCAAACGAGTGACTGCGCGCACGCCACACAGTCCGTGCCCTTCTCCTACGAATGCGAGCGAACGTTGAGATGATCGGAAGTTGTTACAATCGGCTCAAGTGAAGCTGCCAAGCAACGTGGGACTCATCCCCGCAACGGAGCTAAGTCCGGAAGTACACTCCTACTCTGTCTGGAAGTAGAGTGTGCACCTTACTTGTGATACCCAACACAGCCAGTACTCCACTCTTTAAATCGACTTGAGCTACATACGCACGCAAGAGGCCTCTCCTCACACTAAAGGCTGGCACATTGTTGCACGACTTCGCGCAATGGCAGCCGAAGGATACATGCTGGGCAATGGACCGAGCCAAATGCCTTACCGAATGCCATCTTCGCAGGCAATCTCTCCCATCGGCCAAAGCAACAACCCTTTCGACGCGGATTCGGGTGCCTCGGGCTTTCCGAAAGGAGTCGAAAGAGCTTCTGGCCGTTCAGACATGGAGTCAGTAGCAGCCATCTATATCCGCAATCTCCCAAGGCATACAACCAGTGAGGCTCTTCGGACGATGCTTCTGTTTGCGAAAGACTTCATAGGCGCAGACTTCGTCAATTCGGATTCTCCGTCGAATCAAGGATATCTATCTGCTATAGCACGCTTTCGCAGTAATGGTGCTGCTGAAGAGGCTAAGTCACTTCTGAATGGAAAGCAGAACAATCCGAACGAGCCGCCTTTACAGGTCGAGATCTATCGCCTTTCGCCGTCGGGAAGTCTAGGACCTGGTAGGAACAACTTCGATATGGCATCCACCAGGGCATATTCTAGCTCTTCTACTGCATCGTCTGCTGGTCAGGCGCGATCATCACGCTTCAATGGAACATTTCAAGCTATAGATCGAATATCGCCTCCGAGCGCAGTGCCTGGACTCACCAACGGGAATTCGTATTCCTCGGCCGAGCGCTCCGATGTCGTTTCTCCGATGTTGAACTTCTTTTCTTCCCAGTCACCAATAGGGCAGCAGATGGGTGACCGACCAAGAGTGTCAGGGAAGGCAGTGATTGGTGAGGATAGCATTGATGACGAGCCCGGGGACCTCCTCAAAGATCCACTTTCTTATGCAAAGAGCGATATGTCAGGCCAGCTTTCGCGTCATCCTACCAACCCTCAGCTACCTACGTCTCGCTTTGCTGGCCTGTCGCTAAGTACTACTACCGCGACCTCTCCTCCAATGTCAGGCTTCACATCGCCACGAAGCGCAGCACCAATGCAGAGCCCTACAACCGCCATGCCCCCAGCCAGTATTAGCAACCTGGGACCAAACGCATCGTATCAATTAGCGAACCAGCACTACCAGAGGCACAACTATCCACCTGTCAACCCCGCCGATCAGAATCCTCCATGCAATACACTTTACGTCGGCAATCTTCCCATTGATACCTCGGAGGATGAATTGAAGGCGATGTTCTCGAAGCAGAGAGGTTACAAGAGATTATGTTTCAGGACGAAGCAGAATGGACCGATGTGCTTCGTGGAGTTTGAGGATATATCATTTGCGACGAAAGCTCTCAATGAATTGTATGGACACCCCCTCCATAATAGTGTGAAGGGTGGCATACGATTGAGTTTTTCTAAAAATCCACTCGGTGTTCGGACTGGTCAGCCTGGGGGACTGGGTCCGCCAACACCCTTGTCGCCATCGGGACCCATGCCAGGAGTGAATGGCTTGGGAATCCAGCCATTTTCGACAGCCAACGGACCTCCACCTGGATTGGCCGCTCCACCGGGTCTACACACATCGGGCAGCACCTTGAACGGCCTGATGAGCCCAACCAGCATGAGCAACTTTGGAATGAGTGACATGAGCATGGGTATGCCTATGCGTAGCCCACATGCAGGAGGCATGACGAGTGGTTGGGGTGGCCAGGGAGCGCAGTATTCGGATTACATGTTTGGACGTTAACGATGTCTATGGGGCTCCAACAACGCGAAACTTACGACAAAACATACTATACGGCATCATTCGTCCGACTTGGCGAGGCGCTTTGATATCATCAACTTCTCCAAGCAGGCGTTTTGACGACTGCCAGGTAATCCTTCTATTCTTTTACGGTGTGTAGGCGTGACTAGCCAGAATTCATGGCTATGGAAAAGCTGGGTTATACGTATGTGGCATGGGTCAATGCATGTGTTCGGACATGGAGAAAAAACATGAGGTATCTGCGATTGGGATGGGTGATTTGCCGGCGCATAATGTTTTGCGATGATTCCCCCTTTGCATACATAATCTTTGGTGCTGGGTTTTTGGCCGCTACATTTGCTTGCGGTGGTGCTGGTGGCAAAGAGCGTAGGTATTCTCACATACATGCAGGGACATGACTGGCGCGAATCTCATGAACAAAGCATCTACAGCTGGACTACCTGGTGCATATACATAGCGTTATGAGCATATATGGCGTCTCATTTCAACATGCTTGCATGGACGCTGGGTGAGAATCAGAATCATGGCATGCTAGATGAATACAATCAAATACTATTCCATTCCATCCACAAATGTCCTCATGTGAACTTAATCCACCGCAGCCTCACCGAGTTCCGCTTCGGGTTAGATCTTCGAGGGTCAAAGCGTGTGGGGGCCGTTTGAACACGTCGGTTCATTCAACCTAGCCGTTATATAACACAATAAGACCCTCCTTACCATCTGTCCAGCTTCCTTGGTCCAATGGTTAGGATTCCACCCTTCCAATCGAGAGGTGGAGGTCCGGTAAATCTTTCCCTTTTCCCCTTCGCTCCATGCCCACCGAAATGATCCCACTTAACAATCCCACTAATACAACTCGCAGTGTTCGATTCACGGAGGTTGCATAACAATCTTCAATCCGCTCCTTTTTTTTGCTGGGTTTTTTGACGGGGGGGTTCGAGATTTTGGATTGTGAAGTGGGGCAGGTTGGGTTGGGTTTTTTGGGTCGCGTCTGGAGGATGGTTGGAGGATGGTGGGTGGGAGGGAGGTTTTTGCCCGTGGTTTGGCTTGCGTTGCCGGGCTAAGCGAGCCGGCTGTACACCCCACGGGGAGGAGGGCGCGCTTTGACCCTTCGGCTGAGATGGTGGTGGACTGTGATAACCCCTCGCTCGCTCGCTCGCTTTGGGACGTTTTTTTCCGATTTCGGTGTTTCGTGTGAGTACAAGTATGGGATGGGAAGGGAGATTTGGGAAAGCGGAAGCGGAAGTGGCGGTTTGTGGTTTGGGGGGGGGTTTTCTTTTGGGCACATGCGTGCGGGATTGTTGCTACGACCAGGGAGGGCTACATAAGGTGATCGATGAGTGCGAGACTTTCTTCCCTGCACTGGCTACCTACACTTTTCGCACGCTTCTGCTCGTATATAAGCCCGCTTTCGATCAGCTCCCAGGTGGGCTTTTCAGACCGAGGGCACGCTTGTGGACCATGTTGCGCAAGTCGTGAATGTTTGCCTCTCCAGGTGGTTTCCGATGATCCGGTGCAGCAGGTTGGACGTGTTCTGGAGATAACCGTTGTTCATCCCGTCAGTGGAAGCTCTACGGTCGATGCGGTCAATGTTGCTCTTGGAGGGGTGGATCACAGGCAAAAAGTTCCCCACGCATTCCTCAATACTCACAGCGTCGGAACCGATCGCTCGTCCCTTATAGTCTGAGGAAGACGAGAAAGCCGTGACGGAGACGCCGGCGGCTGCGTCGAGAATGCTCGTGGGGGTCTCTTCGGTGGTCGGTTCGCCGAGGAGGAAGTACTTGCTGTTGAGGCTCGTGCAGAAGTTGGTGAGCTGAGGGATTTCTTTGTCGCGGTTGAAATCTTGTGGAGTGCTTTATTAAGTGGGTTGCACGTCAGGGTCGACGTGGGGGCAGAAGAGGTGGTACTGGTTGCTGAAGGTGAGGGCATGGTAGTAGCTGGGGGCAATTGTTTTCTGTTGACTGGATGGTGTAGAGTACTAGATATCAGTCATTACAGTCAGGAAGTGTTTGATGGTCAAGAGGCAAGCATTCATGATACGCGCAGCGCAATGCGTGATGGCTTGGCCACTGCTAGTTTTCGTGAGGAGGAGTACTGCTAACCCATCACTCTTGCAGTAGTTGGCATGTAGGCAGGCTGGCTTGTTGGGGAATTCGACGTGGTTTGACTGCAGTCACTCGGAGAGGATTGAATATGACTCGATCCCCCATTGGTGTATGACAATCTCCGCGCATTCAGGCACTCCATTCAGTCCCGGAACTTTGATCGGCGCAGGACCGGTCGTGACTGGCTTAGTTGTTGACGCCGGAAGGACCGAAAAGTTGCAGCTCGCCGTGGTTGCATCGGCAGGGCTTGATAGAGTTGGATAGGTATACGGGCCATGTGTAGTATATAGAGCACTTTCGCACCCTTTCGACGGTGCAACCCAGTCTGCTCCATTATTTGTGCAGGTTGGCTTGGAGTATGGGTATACAGGCCCCTTTTGACGATTGCGGAAAGGAGTGTTTGTTGAGCTGCAAGCTATGAGGCATCTCTGGGAAGAGTAGTGTCACCAGCGGAGCGCGAGGGCAGCCCGACATCGTCCCGGAACTGTTGCCGGTGGCAATTTTGCCATCTCCAGGACAAGGCGGGTCCTCTTATGCTGGAGCATCGGGTCCCGTTGGGCACAAGCCTGATCTTCAGACCCAACGTTTCGGGCATGGGAGTCCGGAAACGCACGTGCGGGTGTCCGTAGACTTATGGCTTCCACGAATGATTATAAGGTCTGCAAAAGGTAGCTTTCAAGGTATCCTGAAAGGGTTGCGAGAGATGGCTAATCATGAGTCATACAGCTCACAACGACTGCTTTCTGTCCTTGGTACCTTAATGAAGTCAAAAACATGAGCTTTTACTTCCGCGCAGTGGGATCATCACTGGCAGAGGGACTATTGGCAAGGAGTTAGGAGGCCTAGTGGCGAAAGAGCTGCTGTCGAAAAGATGGATACTTCTTTTGGATAGATTTTAATTTTAGAAGACACCGAATTACAAAACATGCAACACTAAGTTAGTCAAAGATATGGTGACTCCAAAGTAGAGGTGAAAAGACCTCGTCAAGGGTAAATATCTATGTATCAGACAGATTTCTCATGCAGTCATTGCAGATAAAGCAGGCGCACGAAAGTGCAATAAGCAGAGGGCACTCTCAAGAACTTAGAACATAGAGCTGAGCGAGCTTGCTACTTATGCTGCTCATTCTATGCAATTCTCTTTGGCAGTGCTTCCGATACTCAGCTCCATCGAACCTGCAATTGGGCTGCAGCAGAATCTGCTAATTACGAGGTGAGAGCCTCGGCTCGCTGAACATCTTTTATACCATGTTGTCACGGTACGCCAAGGCCTTGCCTCGCCTTACTACCTAGCGTGGGCTTGGCACCACACATATCTGCCCTGCAGACACATAGAATAATGATCATCTTTTACACCACACACCAAATCATGACATAGTCACATTGTCTCCTGACAACATCAATGCTCCCAACAGTCCGACTAGTCCGTGCAGAGGCTCGGACTAGTCCAAAGTGAGGCTATATAAACAGTCCACAGTCCGTTCAAACACTAAACCAGTCCAAGTAGATTTAAAAACTGGTCTAGGGATGTGGATTTGTCATATTTATTTGTCCTCAGTTAGTTCTATTACTACTAAAAATATATCTACTATACTTAAATATACGGCTTAATTATATTATTTAATTTATACAAATTAAGCTATTAGACTATTAGTCGAACTAGTCCGTCTAAAATCTAAACCAGTCTATAAATAATCCGTCTAAACTCTGACTGGTCTGTTATGGACTAGTCCGCGGACCAGTCCGACTGATAGTCCGTGATTTGGGGGCGGACTGTTGGGAGCATTGCATTCACATACAAAAGTCCTCCGTGCTCACGACTGTACGAGTGTTCAGCCATCATGCCATTCCATCCATGATCGAGCGGCCTTCGTCATGTTATGTGGCCCATATTTGTCAGCTTCCATCGTCATACCACGGCTTGCTGCGAGGACAGCTAATTAGGCATTGGAGGCAAGAGCTATTGGGGACCTTGTATCTCCCCACCGTCGACGAATCTGTGTGACTCAAGGTCGAGTAGTTCAGTTCCCCCTCAGATCCTTCGCATCACCAGCACTGAGTGTCTCTTGAAAGTTCGAAGGCGTTGTGCGCTATTGAGCATGCGATGCCGTGGAGGACAAGTCGTCCGAGCCCACTCTCGTTGAATATTCGGAATTGTTATGCAAGAATTATGCAACTTTATGTAGATTATACGTAAGTCTCCGACGTGTACTCTGATGGTGGAGGCTTGGCGTGGGCGGTCCGAGCGGGCTCGGCGGGGTTTGTCGGACGAAACCAGGTTTCTACCTAAACAGGCTCAAGATGGCTTTTAAGTTGACTCAAAGCTGGGGTAAACTCCGAGCTAGAGTGACTAATCTTGGACGAAGTCAAGGCCATCGTATGATAGCTTGTCCGGCTTGCCCTTTAAGGATCGGTGTCACGCATACCAACCTTGGGAAGCAAGCCGCGTTCGGACATTTTCTTAGCATGAGATCCAGCCACCATAGATCATCGTCGCCGCCAATGGATACCAACTACAACGTACGGCACAGAGTCGGAGGGTCTTTGGCAATGAGAGACAGCCAACGAAAAGATTTGGAATACAAGGATCATGTAGTACCTTAGTGTCCGGTAAGAGTTGTGAAGCATACTTTCTCTCATCATCTTCTTCTAGAGTATTTTCCATTCCTCTGACAGCTCCCAGAAATATACTTTTCTGTCCGTACGAAAGCGAATGTCTCTTAGACGTAGTTCAAAATGTCGTCTCCGCGATGTATTATGCCTCTCCATCCCCTTCAGAGCCCTCTTAAAGCATGTGCTCGGAACCTTCTATACGTTTTCGCAAGTTACATAGGATGCGATATTTTCCCAACATGGCACCCCAAACAAGCATTCCCGTTGCCGCTAACATCCTTGGTACAATTGGCACGGTCTTTTGGTGCATACAATTGGTGCCGCAGATATGGTACAACTGGAAGCAGAAGAAAACGGATGGCCTGCCTGGATTGATGATGTTCCTGTGGGCTATTTGTACATCTCCGAACCCCTCTTTGGTCCAACCGTGCTGATACAGAGAATAGCGGCCGTGCCCTTTGGTGTATATGCAATTGTTCAGGTAACCTTCCCAGTAAGGGTGCGAAATCGAGTAAGGAATTGACATCTCAGAACTTCAACATGCCAATCCAGATCCAGCCACAGGTCTTCTGTGCGCTTGCACTGGTTAGCTGGGGCCAGGTCTTGATATACAATAAGTAAGCACCTTTGCCAGATTGCTCGTGCAGCATCCTTCGTTGACCAAAGCCGTTTCTAGCAAATGGACGACACGGAAAGCCTCTGTCGTAGGAACGGTAGTGGGAGTAGCATTCGGAGGGATCGAAGCCCTTCTGATCCTCACAATCAGACCGCTTTATGACCGTCAAGTTGCATGGCCCATCATGTTCGTGGGCATTGTCGCTGCGATCTTACTCGCAGTAGGTTTTTTGCCCCCTTACTTTGAGCTCTGGAAACGATCGGGGAGGGTTGTCGGCATCAATTTCATTTTCCTCACCATCGACTGGCTGGGCGCGTTCTTCTCCCTCATGGGCGTTGTGGCACAAAATACTTTCGACCCCCTCGGTGGATGTCTTTTCATAGTCTGTATTGTTATCGAAGGCGGTATCTTCGTCTCCCAAGGTATCTGGCTTTTCCGCACCCGCAAACTCCGCGCCGCAGCGAAGCGCGCTGGCCGAGACTTGGACGAGCTTCCACAGTCGGACGTTTACCATGTTGAAGTGCCGAGAAAGGGCAGTATAGCAGCGTCCAGAGACGTGGAACGTGACGAAATTGCCAGGAGGGGCAGTCTGGCTGTAGCGAGAGATTTGGAGCATGGGGAAGGGAGCATGTTGTCTGTACTGCAACAGTTGGAAGACGGTATTAGTAAAGAGTCGAGGTCCAAGACCGATGTCGAGGTAAGGTGCGAGGAGGTACGGGCTGGAAGTCTTGAAGGAGTGCAGGAGATCGACTATGGGACTATGGAGAGGAGTTCAGCTGCATCGAGGACGAGGTCGGTTTTCAAGAGACAGGATACCAACACAGCTTGCTTCAAGGAACCACAGTGGTAGCAGGAAGCACGAGCGGAGTAGGATGTTGAGACTGTCTCAAATGTGAGTATGAAATACGTCGCTGGGGTCCCTTTGGACAAAACGACTTCTGAGTTTTAGCAGACCACCATTTCACTATGCCGCATCAGGGATAGCTAATATTCACCGCTGGTTGTTGTGCACTCCCTTCGCAGTCTGGATGAGTTAGGTCCGACAGACGACCACCACGCAAGAAGGATCTCAACGGCAGCAGAACGCCAAGATTGGCGCACGAAGGGTACAGTGGAATGATAGGGGCCAATGGGAGCATCACTATATTTCTTGAAATCTAACATTCAGCTTATGGTCGCCCGCTCCACAGTGAGTAAAAAGCTTGGAGCCTCAAACGATAACAAGGGCGCTGCTCCCACTGTATGAGACAGAGTACAAAGAAATTCCGTACTGTAATGCGGGAATTCCGTAACAGAAGCCAGTACATAACGACAAGGCAGACGAGGCTGGCAGATGGAGAAAAAGGAACAGAAGAGGTGTCCATGGAATTTACTGGTCAACTGACTCCCTAAGGTAACATCTTCTTCCCACAGCTTGCTAGAAAGTTGTAGGCACCGAGCACAAAGGATCAATCTTCCTCTTTCACCCAAGGCAGCCGGGCTTTGATTGAATGAATAATGCTCCTGTAAGATGACAAAGCTTCTTCATTTCGGGCCGCTTCATTTTAGCAATTGTGTTGAGACTTGAAGCTATCCCAAAATTTCCGCTCCGGAAAATTACCAACCCCCTCTGGTCTGTCAACACCACCACAACCCCGCGTAATATGCACCGGAAATTACCTGCACGACTTATCGTCCTTGACACACTGACCCTCATCACACCAACCTCGTTAATTTTCACAGAAATTATTACTTAAGATTCCATCCTCATCATCATCATCATCATCACCATCAGCACCAGACACAGACTGGTAACTTGACCATCTTACATAAATACACATATAGCCACCTTCCCTTCCATCTTCTTCCATACCTACCTTGATCACCAGCTTGCAAGCCACTGCTATCGGCTCTGATCGTCGAAAAGGTCATCATCGTGATTCTCGCTTGAAGCATACGCACGCACAACGTTGCAAACACACATTGTCTTCTTCATATCTTTGTCCTTCCACATCTTGACACCTCATACTCATACCTGGCACTGCTGTCAGTATCACCACCCAGCAGCAACTTGCAGCAAGATCACAGATTCTTATCACTTTTGCCGAAGCAAGTTTGTGTACTCAACACACATTCTGCAACCTTTCTTCACCAATCCCACCAACACTCACCGAAAACCCTTCCATCATCAATATCCTTGTACCATGTCTTCCCAAATCAAGAACACGGCCCAGAAGATCTTGACAGAGATATTAAAATACCACACCGTCATCCCACCTGCGACCAATCCTCGCCTCCCGCAAGAGTCTGGGCTCAACATTCCGCAGGGCATCCCTGCCCTATTCGCATACTCTCAGCTTCATGGCAATGACCATAGTCCAGACAAGACCGTGGTGAAGGCATTCCTTCTGCACCAAGCTGGAAACCTACTCAGCCTCCGTCTGGTGGTTATGGCCTGCGGCCTCATCTACCTTTCGCGTCCAATCATCGGTCCCGTGTTGTCGTCTGTATGGGATGAGTTAGGTCACGATAGGCATGAGTTGCTCAACGGAGACCCGTTACCCAACAACGAAACCATGACCAAGGCTAAGCTCGAGCTCGAGCCTAAGTCCGCAACCAAGGACGAGTCGAAACCCAAACCCGATCTCAACACCTATCCTGAGCCAGAGTCAAGGACGGTCTCTATAACGATCGCAGAACTGAAGGAGCTGAACGATCTCGCAGATGCAACTCAAGCCCGCCTCGATGCGGCCCAGAGGCTGCAAGAGGACATGTTGACAGCAAACTGCGACTTGAATGATGACGTTGAGAGGTTGGAGGACGAAATCGAGAGGGTGAAGAAGCAGGCACAGGACGACGCCGCCCATTCCGATGCTCGCATCCGAGCATTGAGTGATCAAATCGACATCGACAAAGATGCTAAAGACACTGTCTGGAAGGAGAGGGAGAATTTCCGTTTGGGCGGAAAGGAACTCAAGAAGCGGTTGGAAGACCTCCAGGCGGAATTCAACATACTGGAAGATGACCGCGACGAGTGCCAAGACGAACGAGAGAAGTTGGCGGCTGAAATCGCAAAGGCCCTGTCAGATGCTGCCGCTACTGGGCAAGCACAAGACAAGCGCATCGAGGACCTGGAGTCTCAAAAGGACAAAGAGGTCGCCGATGCAACAACTGCTCTCACTGCGCTCAAGACGCAGATGGAGGATCTCAAAAAGGCCTACGAAATCCTCAGTATCGACTCCGAAGCTCAGAAGTCTGCAGCGGTAGACGATGAAGAAGTCATGAAGGAATACCAGGATATTTGTGAGGATCTTGAACAAGAGGTCACCCAACAAAAGAAGGATCTTCAAGTAGCCGAAGACGAAAAGGCTAGCCTTCGAGCAGAGATTGCTGCTCTCAAGGAGCGACTGGAGGCCCAGGACAAGGAGAAGTCTGGTGCTAAGGACGGCGGTCGTCAAGATGAGGATGAAGACGACGCCTCCAACGACGATGGAGGGAAGGATCAAGGCAGAGATGACGACGACGATGCTGCAGATGATGATGCAGATGACGGTCGCAATGGCGGCGGGGAGAAAGTGGCTGACGGTGTAGATGACAACGGCGCCCAAGGAAATGATGGGGCGACAGACACACCACCCTCGTCTGAGGGCCCATCGACAGCTCAAAGCTATGGAGGTCCGTCTGGGCCACCAAAACCACGATCATTGACATCTTCCTGTGCACCACCAGCTATGGAGCCTTCACCATCCACAGCTTCTTCGCCACCTGCAGAGTCAACCCCGCTTGCAAAGTCATCACCACCGAAAGACTCGTCGACTCGTACAGTCACTACCGTCTTGAATGCGGTGGCTCCTGAGTTCAAGCCTTCGACAGGTCCGAAGTCGGCCGTACCTCGTATGCTCCCTACGCATCAAGCGTACTTCGCGTCTTTGGTGGGAATAGTGCCTCCAACCCCTGGATCATCTGCTGCCGTTCTAGCGGATTCACCGATTGAATCGGCTCAGGAGCCAGGCGGACCAGTTCTCACCTACTCGCCTGCTCCCAAGGCAGCGGGGCCAGGCGGAGCGAAAAACGCCCACATACGGAAGTTGAACGAAGACGTAATGAAGAAGGCATGGAGAAGACAGAGCGGGATGCCGGATACAGACGAAGAGATTATCCTGGCTCCCGAGGACGAACGTGAGATTGGTATGTAGCCTTGTTCCGTGAACACATACCTGAGCTAATCAGTCTGCAGAGGGTATGTTTCAACGCCAAATTATCCAAGCTTACACTCAGATCGTCGCCCTCCCTGCGTTCCCTCCTTCCTACAGTGACATTATTAATGCGCCGGAAATGACTTCAGTGCATCGAACCACATCGGCTCCCGCAGCTAGAAATCTTGCCCAAGAGAGAGATGAGAAGGAAGATGAGGAGGCTCATGCTTCTGGAGAAGAGCAGCGTAAGGAACACTCACGAAATTCAGAAATCAGGGGACAGCTAATGGCGCTTGCAGTAGCAGATAACTACCCTGAGAACTGCCCCGACAACGCAGACGCGGATTCGGAGCACGAAGAAATCCATTCTTCTAGCTCGGGACCTGCTTCAGAGCTGCATCGTCAACGAGCAACGACCTCTCGGTATCCAGCAGAGGAGAAGCCCACGGGCACTAGATCGGGCTCGGCCCCAGCATCGAGATTCTCCAGTCAAAACACAAGGAGTTCAGAAGTCGCTGACGAGGAGGATGCGGAGCCCTCACCGTCCATAGGAGAGCAACAAGCGAACTCGGCTGGTGGATCAGCAACGGCCCCCGATGTTCCGTCGGAAGAGGATGTACCACAGTCAGTGACTCCTCACGGACGAGCGGCAGCTCGTGAGCATTCGGGCCCTAGCAGCTCCAAAGAGTCAGAAGCTGAGGAAGACGACGAAAACGATGGAGACTGGTCCGATGTAGAGGACGATGACCATGGAAAAGAAGAAAAAGAAGAAGAAGATGACGGTGCGCCCATGCTTGGCAACTACAAAGTGACTCGCGGTCCTAAGCCAACCGAGGATAACTCGAAGAAGCCTATGCTGGGTAGCTACAATGGTACCCGCGGTGAGGGGCCAAGCAGCAGTGAATCTGGGACGCCAAAAGCCGTGGAAGAGTCCGGAGCCAACGGAGGCTGGATTGATGTTGAAGAAGAAGAAGATGAAGAAGATGAGGAGGACGGAGAGGATCAAAAGGAGGACCAGAATGAGGAGGATGAGAGTGAGAAGGATGGAAAAGACGAAGAAGACGAAAAAGACGACCAAGAGGGTGTCAACGCTCCCCTACCAATACCCCAATCTCAGCCTCCCACCCGAGAACTACCTCTATCGGTGGCAGGTGCCATCGATGCATCATCGCCAGCCGCCCGGGGATATAGGGGTGACAGACCAAATCCTGAAGCTACACGTGATGAACAGCCCGCGAACCGACCTCCATCGAGCATTTTCCCGAGCATTGAAAACGCAACGAAGACGCACGATGAAGCCGTCGGCGATGCGTTCGCAGACTGTTTCCGCGAGCACGGCACTAAGAAATTGGAGGACTCGATGTGGGCGGATAAGAAGCCTGACGCAAAAGCAAAGGCCATTCCTCAACGAGCATCATCAACGCCTGCTGAGGGTGTAGCATCGTCACGGACACCAAATCGGTTGGGTGATGGGGGAGTGACTCGAGCCCCACCCCGGGGTCCGCCAAACTTCAGCCATCTGCCAAAGCCTCAGCCTCCTCCCGGTGCTCCTACTGGGCCACAAGGCCACGCATCACGGCGTCCCGGCCCTGAGCGGTCAGATAGCGGAATCCAGACTTCGGTCGGATTGGATGATCCGGACACCACGCCGAGGGTGCGATTGCCAGTTTCACCGTCCTGTGGATCCGACAACCTGCCTCCTCAGCCAATGGCGAGTCAGGCACAGTCTTCACCGGTGAACGTTGCAACACGCACATGTACCCAGGGAGAGCTAGACGATGGTACTCAAGCTGCACGAGCTTTGCTGCCGCCGTCGAAGCCAATATACCGAGGGTCCCCACTACGAAACGTGATAGGGGCAGCGCCGTCAGAGAAGAACAATGGCGGCGTGCAGCCTGCGACTGTAGCGTCGCCAGCAGGAACACCGGCTGGAAGTGCCAGCTGGTCTCCTCGTGGTCACGGAAGAGGCGGTCGTGGTGGACTTGGCGCGCGAGGAGCCCACACTCCACAAAAGCGAAACCCAACACACGGCCCAACTGCAAATACGTCAAAAGCAACGCCCACAGATCCAGACGCTCAGGATGACTTCAAGATCCTCGGCGCTAGCAGGAGAGGCGGGCAAGATGGACGAGGAGCAGCTGGGAACGGGAACCGGAGCAGCTTTGGCTTCGGTGTGAGAGGTCGCGGTGGTGGTCCAGCAACACCCACACCACAGCCGGGGCCGGCACGTGGCTCGAGATCTGCAAACACTGCGAGCAGCTCATTTCAGCGATGGCAGGACCGTATGGCGGAGGCCGCCGGGGCAGAGGCGGAGACGAAGCAGAGATGAGGGAGTGGGTGAGCGGAGGGGATCACGGAGAGATAGATGGAGAATGTCATGAACGAGACAATGGTGACACTGGCAAGAGGAATTTGGTCTCAACGCTGGTGATACAAATGGCGGAAGAGCATGGAATGGTTAGGATACTCCAGTAAACCTGGATGTGGCGGGAGGGGATATGACAGGGTAGTTCAGTGAGCTGGACGGGGCGGCGTGAGAGAGAGTGTGTGTCAGTGTGGCGGGAGGGGATATGGCAGGGTAGTTCAGTGAGCTGAACGGGGCGGTGAGAGACTGTGTGAATTACTGGTGTGCATTAGTCGTGCCGTTGCTGCTGTGGAAATGTGATATTCGGGAATTTGGCGTTTGTCCGGAAAAGGATCGTGTGGACTAAAAGTCTTTGTTGCATAGATAGGGGTCATCAGGGCATCTCACAGTCATCATTTCGACAATGCTTTTATCATCAGCTCACGTTCCAACTTGTAGTGATACGCTATGCTCTTCCAGCAGAGTCACGGTCTAGACCCCTTTCACAATTTCCCTCAGACCATCAGATCCAGATCGCAAGATCTTATTGTTTCAAACTCAAAAACAAGTATGCAGGTTACTTTCAAGACCTACCTACGCAGACATCACGCTTCCCGGGGCTCTCTGACCACAGCAACCCACCTCTGCACACCCAGACCTTTCCCCCCCCTCATACTCATCCAAGTCCAACGTCATCTCTCCCACATCCTCGAACCCACACTTCCGATACAGCGGGTGTCCCAGCTTGCTAGCATCGACATGGCATCTCAGCCCCGCGGCGTCCGCCTGGGGAAACGCCCATCGTATGAGTTGGGCCCCGGCCCCTTCCCGTCCGTGCTTCGGGTGCGTACCGAGGCGCCAGAGCACTTCGAAGCGTCAGAGACTCACACTCTCACATATCACACAATGACAGCGATCGATCCGCAAACGTAAACCTCGCGTGGCATTCGAAAGATACTCACACCAGTGCGCCTCATGCCTCCCCGCATGCGCCCCCTCATCTCCCCCTAATCCTGCAAAACTCCCTCGTCAACTCCTCATCAGCGCCCTCGGGCAGCGGTCCCGTCGCAACCTCCTCGTCGTCCTCGGTGCAGTATCCCTCGGATAGATGGACCCATACGCCGCAGGCTGCTATCTCACCGGTCGCCGTCATCGGTCACTTTTCGATAATGTTTCCGCCGAGGGAGGTTGTGCTCCTTTCGGAGCGCCATGCCGTCGTGGAAGAATCCTTCGTACATCTTGAGGAGGTCTGCTTCGGGGACTTTGCCGAAGGTGACGCTGTTGCGCGGCATGGGGGACCGGATTGCTTGGGAGGCGCGGGCGAGCTCGGGGGCGGAGGTGGGGAGGCGGTGGGATAGGGTGGGGGATATTTTCTGGGTATATGTATTGTGGGGAGAAGATGCGGGGTGTGGTGGTTTTGTCAAGGAGATGTGATGATGTATGAGGTAGAGTCAAGGACGGCAACTTCAAATCGACAAAATCATCAAGCCAATACAGCGATGGAGAATGGAAATGAAAGCGCGTTGAACGAAAGTGAATGCAAAACATCTTAGGTCTTATATACATGTCAGATGGCCATAAGAGTCACGAAAACATGGATTGGCTTTCCGTCGGTGGTAAAAGGCCTACTCTGCTGCTCTCAACACTTGACCGTTTCTGTCCCGATACATGCCAATCCATGCCTCAAGCCTTTACGTGCATGCCGGAATGGCTCAAAGTCTCCAGATGGGAAGAAGGATGTTGACGAGCGAATCGGAGGGAAGAAGGCGAAAAGCCGCCGCCCTGCACAAATCCCTCCCGCTGTTTACTTCCCCACGATGTAACCACACTTCAACCTCCGACATCCATAATTCCCACGCTTTCCTCCTCCACGCCCCCGTCCCCTCATCCTTTACCGCTCAGCCTCCCCCTCGACCCTCGACCCCGCCCTCGAAACCCTCCCCATACCCACCATCTTCAACGCCCGAAATCCAATCCCAACCCCCGCCCGCGCCCGCGCCGTGCACTCGCAAATAGACGGCTCCCACCCCGTGTTTGAAGACCAAGACTCCCGAGGCGCTGGCATCGCGGTATCAGTAGTCGCTGAGTGACCTATCTCATCTTCTGAGCATGTCTGGATCCGATCACAACATCCAATTCCCCACACGATCGTCCCAATATCTGCTTCTCAAGAAGCACAGACTGGAATAAGAGAATGGGAACTTCCTGGATGTTGTGGTCGCGAATGACGTTGATGATCTGCTACTTTCATTTTGTTTACTTGCCGCGTTGCGGGTATGGTGCAGCAGAGCAGACTGCTGTTCTTGTTTCAGCTCCTCTTGTTCGTTATCCCTCCAACTATGATTGTCTCTTCTCCACTATGGGATCTTTTTGGTCTTCTTTAAGATATCATTCTGGACTTGGAGACCGGCCTCGTCGCCATTGCAGTAGCTGAGGATGAAGAGCTTTAACCGAGGGAAATGGAAAGTTCTCAGTTGTACCAAAGTTGTAGACCAATCGCTCCCAGTGATAGCAACGAAACTAAAATCCACCTCGACGATAGTGCCTCAGTGCAGGCGGGAGAAGTCACTCAAAGACACAATACTTGTCCGATACTGGTTAACGCTTAGCTTCTTGAGGTTATTTAACCCATCAGGAGGCATGACACTGTCTATGGTGGGTCTCGGTAGACCTGCAATGAAATCTGAACATATTTCGCACCGGGTGACAGTCTCGAGGCACCATGAAGATTGCATCAAACTGCGCAGTGCGGCAACTATTTTTGACAGATTTGCAGGATCATCTCGATCGACCTTGATCTCATCAACATGGAGCTCTCGCACACCACAGTGAGCATTCTTGCAGATCTCTACATTCTCAGCTAGTATCAGCCTCGAAGGTTAAAACAGGCGGATTTTCGAGAGATGCAATTGTTCAAAAATCCCCCACGCTGCCTGAGAGGCTGCTGTATGAGGGATCTTCCTCGCCACTTAGCTTGAAGACTTTGGGTGACGCTGCTAGCCCTCAATAAGGGCCGGCAAGGCGTATTGACAGTCACATTGAGGATTTCGAGTTGAGGGATGTGCGAGAAGGCCGTGGAAGGCTCTTGACGTCCAAAGACTTCGAGGAAAGAAGGCACTGTGCTTCGATATAGCCACGGTATGCTCACATACGTTTGGCCATGGTAAGGGCGTGAGAACTGAAAGAATGTAGCTGGTGCTCTATCCAATCCTTGACTTGGTCTTCGTAGAGACTGTCATCTTGATATCAAAATCTCATCGGCGACAAGATGATTTGATGAGGTGGCTGTGAGTCGTTCCAAACTTCGGACACCGATCCATACTGGAATGACCTCGAACAGGAAAGGAGCAGCGGCGGCAGTCAAGGCTTTGTTCACAAGGCGTAAGGGTTCAAGACTCTCGTAGGCGACGTCTTCGACGATGAAGCGTAGCAATTCTTGCGGGAGTCGATCTATTACTGAATCCTGAAGGATGATGTTGACAACTGGAGAAGATTTGAGCGGAGCCAAACGCAGTCTAGCTTGTTCATTCACGTGATAACCCCGCCAACTCATAAGGATTCCATCTTACCTTGCACCACCGATTTATTTATTCCCGATATTCAAGCCAGACCCATACCAAGTCCATAGCGTTCTTAAATATAAGATATAAGTGCAAGTTTCATCAGCTATGGCTACTTCTCCTACTCTTCTGAGTCTTGCTACAGAGATCCGCTTTCTGATCTATTCCTACCTGCTTCCCAAGGTAGTCAACATGGACATTGTTAGGGATGATATGGATGGACCTCTACGCAATAGCTTGTTTCTCGTCTGCCGATTGATCCACCGCGAAGCGTTGGAATACTACTACTTCACGAATACCTTCCTCCTGGATTTGTCCGAGCCTGCGTACGCCCCGAATAGATTTGTCAATGGCACGAAAAGCTTACTGAAGTATATTCGCCGTGTCCAAAACCTGCAGCTGGTCGTTGGAGATTCTTTCCCCGTGAATGAGGATCCTTACGCTCTTTCGGAGTACGCACGAGAGCAAGTCGACTGGTTCTTGACAACCTTGCGCGAGGCCAATGAGAACCAGCAAGGACCGTGGTTGAAGAACTTGGTCGTCCAGGACGATTGCGAGCCATCGATTCTAACGGAATTCACCAGAGAAGTGCTCGAAAAGGGAAAGAAGAGGAGAGAGGTTCTGATCTCGTTGCTTGTGCCTTTTAGGGGTAGGATTCGGGCCAACCTTAGTATCGAAAGTCGCGCTCTATCGCAGATCCGTATATACGATGGGTCGCGTGGCGCAAATATAGGTATCACGGCCCCAGATACCCATACGTTTGATGGAATTACTAATCTTGTGACAGCGCCGGCTTGGGACACCGTTGTTGGCGTCTCCCAGATGCATTCTGGCATCCCCCCCCTGCAGCGAGTGGGCCAGAGTCATCCCGCATTCCTAGGGGCCTTACAAAGTTGCCTCTACCAAGTTCGCAGCGGGTACGCGACTTCGCAAAGGATGTTCCTGGGCGACATCGGAATCTAGCCGTCAGCATCGATGCGCTCCACTTCACTTCACAGGTTGATGTATACTTCGAACGGGATTGCGATGCGTATGTCCCATTTGAGAGGTGAGGATAGCCAATTTGTCTTCTGTTATGGACTCTGCGGGACCTCAGGTCTTTGAAGCGAGGTTAGGCTTAGGCATGGGATGGGATTCCAAGCGGGTTAAGCATAGGCGTGGGATCGGATTTGAAGCGGGTTAGTTTTATACGTGGGTTCGGATTTCAAGCGAGGTTAGTTCTGTGCACGGGATCTGATCTGTTGAGCTGGTACAGCTCAACGAAGGATGAGAGTATTGACAGCTTTTCGGGCGCACCCGATTTCTTCAATTGTTGATGATTATCATTGGAAATTGAATGCGATAGCTTACTATGCTCCCCTTATGCGCCTTTATTCTTGTCAGCCGTTTCACGATCAATGAATGGAACTGATTGATGGCCAGCTAGCACAGAAGATTCACGTGCTAGAGATATTACCCAAAGCATAGTAACAACAACACACTGTTAGATCATACTCAACGTTTTCGAAGCTTCAGTATATATTGAATTAAGGCTCCTGCGCTAGGGCTGTACAAAGCTCTGCTGCAATTGCTATAATCCTTCAAGCGTCTTGCGTGGTGTGTGTTGAGGGTATAGAAGAAGCGAATCCTTGCATAAGTCGTCTATTTCGCGGCTGTCAAAACGCCTGCCAGCTATAAAGCCAACCTTGCAAGCTTGCTTCCAAGATGCTTCCCAATCCGACATAGCAATCCAAACGCCTTTAAGCCATGTCTTCCCTGCTTTTCGTTCAGAATTTCGACAACCTGTTCTCCTTCATGCGCGCAGGCGGCGGCTGGTTCACTCCCCTCAATTGCTCCCTAGCCTTTCCTTTGTCTGCTGGAGCCCCTGCCCCTGCGGCTGTCCCCGATCCATAGTAGCCGAGGTCGTGCACGCTCTGGCCCGGTCCCCACGTCGTCATGTCCACCCTCGATCCAAGGGCCCATTGGGCTTCACGCTTGCGGTGGTATTGGCGGTGGAAGAACCAGCCTCCAACGGCGGCAGCCGTGAGGCCAATGATGATCACGATGAGCATGACAATCCAGCGCCAGTGAGTAGACATCCTAGACGGGCATCAAAGTCAGCATGTGAGTGGGCGGACTACGCAGGATATGTCTCACCAAGGCCCCGGTGTGGGATTCGTAGAGCTATTCGAATCCTGCTGACTCGTACTGGTTGCGCCTGCACTTGGTGCAGTCGTCGCAGTTGATGTTGTTGGACCTGGCGTCGCAGCGGTCGACGACGTTGTAGTACCTCCCGCCAAAGCTCCGAAATTGGGCGCGCCTTTCCCGGCGTTAGGACAAACGCCTTGGTACCACTTCTGAATGGTCATCATATCTGCTGCTGAACATGAAGGGCAGACTCCTTGAACCGCGGCGCTTGAGTATAACGAGGTAAGGAGGGCCGATTGGCAGAAGCATGACTCGTAGATTTGGTCACTGGTGACTGGTGCTAGTGGTGGTGTACAAGATCCTTCGGCATTGGTGAGAACTATACACTGTGTCGCGCAGGCTGGAAGATTTGACGCGAGTAAGGTGACTGCTTGAGCGGAGATGATGGGGGTGAGGAGAGATAAGATGGAGGCGATTAGGAAAGACTTCATCGTGAGCGAATGGATTGTACAGATTGCAATTGATGGTGACGACCAGGTCAGAACGTTGTTGATGAAATGCGCATCAAGAAAAGGATTGATGGATTGATGAATGAGCAGAATTGGTCGTGTTGGAATTGGATGGTGTTGGTTGGGACGGCTCAGAGAGAAGGAGCACCGGGTCGGGTGTGGAATGAGACCCTCGATAGCTGAAGTGGAGTGGGGCCGTGCATTATTTGTGCTGGTTTCAGCTAGCCTCCTAGCATAAAGTAGCCTTGGCAATCTTCATTCAGGGGCTCAGCGACAGCCCTAACGCTAAGCTTTTTTCGGTGTGAGAATCAGTATGAAGAGAAATTCATGACCACATTGTTGGTTGTACTCTAATAACATTGTCGTTGTTGCTACATTTACTGTTTGAAAGAGAAGAGTGCCGTACCAAGAACAGCAGATTGGCGTCTCGACTTGAATCTTCTGATAGATATCACGGCCGTACTACCTTCTTTTTTTCGATCCCGATGCAACAGTCCAGGCTGTCCACTTTCTGTTGCAGCTACAATGGTATGGTCAAGGAGCACGAAAGGGAAGCACTGTGGAACTAGATGCAACACCTGGTTAGTGACACGGCTGTGTAACGACCGTCTGTTTGATAGAATAACATGTGTACGTCACTGCAAAGGGCTGAGAACGCTCCCTGAAGGAAGGCTATGTTGTGACTAGAGCTAGAACGACTGCTATCATTGGGTCGGTCAGAAATCTCCCATAATTGTGTGGTCGTTTTCACTTCCATGGTCTTTCGCGCGGTAAGTGTAAGAGAAGGCTGCGTTCTGTCTGGCAGCAATTTGCGGCTAGCTCCTGTGTCAGCACAAGATATTATCATCGTTGAGTATTTACATCTCGGCCATTTCATTGTTGAGAACAGCGCGTACACAACGAATCCAGAGCAGCTTCCTAAATGGTTCTTGGAACCTTCGTCCCTCGTCGCGGGCGTTCATATCGCGCTCTGTGTGCGGTCGTTGGGCAGCTACACTCATCGATTACCGATTTCGAACTGTGGAACTGCGCAGTCAGTCCCGAATGCCTTTCCGAGTTCCTGCGAGGCTCACCGTGCTCCAAACCTTTAAATACTCTTTCGCAGATCCCGCGAAAGCCCCTCTTGCTAAGGCGCTCAATTTCAATCCCTTTATGATACGCAGTGGCCTCATATCGCACTCAGCAACCACACTACGCAAGATTGTGATGCTCGCTCATCCGAATGATCTCGCACCACCTTTCATGGGCTCGCTCCGAGAGTTCTCAGCACTCACAGAATTGCGAACGAATCACAGCTGCCTGGTAGGAGAGGACTTTTATCGTCCGACGTTATCACAGATCTTGCCCTACTCGCTTCGCCGTTTAGTACTAGATGGCCAGAAGCGCTCGATGTTGAATGAGGTCAATGTTGACCCTATCGACTTCGCTGTAAGGGCTGCGGTAGATGCCGAGGCAGGGTGGGGACTTCCTCGGACCTGGCCCATTGAGGAGCTTGTGTTCACCGGATATGAGGAATTCGTGAAAGACTATTTGATGACAAGCGCTGAGGAAGTGTCCTTGGTCGTCAAGTTTTTGACAGGAGATGAGCTTGATCAAACATCCTTAGCAAGCTCGCACTGATACTTGAAGACTGAGAATCCAAGGTGGAAGGATTATAGAGACTCCTATCGCCATCGTAAATGTCGGCCTTGGACGACGATTTGATGACACATCTCTTCGCCATTTAAGCTAAAAGCTCTATTTGAGGTATCATTCGCGAGAGATACTGAGCACGCGCATAAACGCAGCACAGATCCAAGAAACGCTTCGAATGGTGACTGACGGCAAAGGCCATGTGATATGTGACGTGAGTAGTTCGCCTCGGCCTCCATCACCTTAACATTTCATCGTCTAGCGAGCCCAGCTGATCGTGACACGGTGGATGGCGGTCCAGGGCGGTTGTTCGGATGGCCCTTCAGTCCCAACAACAGGGGTGATGGGTGGACAGGACGAGAAGTTGACGCAGGGATCTTCTGATGCGGCCTGAGTCACGGCTTGCGAAGTTGATACTCGCATTCCACGTGCTACGTACATGGCGAGGGCACTTTCTACCGGGCCACTGTCCTTTTCCATCACAGCAAACAGACCGGAACCCTTCAGTCCTAAGCCAGGATGATTGAGTAAAGAGGTTCATACACTATTCAACTTGAATGAAAATAACTGTTTCCATTGGCCAAAGATTGATTCAAAGAAACGCCAGCAACCTCCCTGATCTTCAAAAATCCGTACGAGAAAAAAATCCTTTCACTTATGCTGAAGTACAGGCTCGCCGGACCATGGCTCCCCAGCAGCCTCCCTATCTCATCCAACGCAAGCGCCGCGACTTCCATAGGCAAACTGCTGCCCAAAAACCCTTCGTTGAGCGTGACGGTCCACACCGTGTAGGTTTCCAGGTCGAAGGTCTCTTGCTGTGCCCGACGTGGCATGATGCCCGGGACGGGATACTCTCGTTCCAGGTTGTCGCGGAATTCTTGGAGGAAGCCTTGGAGCGCCGGCGCGGTGACTGAACGCGTTCCGTGGTATTCGGTCACGCGGGTGATGAGGAGCTCGAAGAAGCCAGAGCGTGGGTACAGTGGGATTTGATAGGGTCGCGGGGGCCACGGTGAGAATGTCAGATTTGGGAAACTCGGTGGTGCTTGTCGGGAAGAGTTGGTGGTATCGATGGGGCCCGATGGAGGATTAATATTCAGAGGCGAGGGTAGACTAAGTGCAGCAGACGTAGAGAGTAGCACTATCAAGACAGCAGACAGAAGATGGGGCCTCAGCGACATCATTTCCGCGCCTGTATTTGAATATCCTGAGCGCTCTCAGGCTGTTAAAAGACTCCGCCAAATATCATGCGGGCGCTGCTGACTTCTCGGGTTCTTTGCGTACCGCCAAAGGGATTGGATGAATGTCTTGACACTGCCATACCGCATTAGAAAGAGCGCACGAGAGCTCAGTAGACACACCTGGGTTTTACAAGCTCCTGGGCCGCAGGGGAAAGCGAGAGAGCCGCAGTAGCGCACGTCCGAAAGCGCATTTCCGGACCTCTCCCGCGGTGAGGCTCGTGGAGAAGAATCATTGCCGAAGCCGTATTTAGCGATTGCAAATATGATTACAGAATCCACATTAATCATCGCTGCTTTTTGGCCTTCTTTTACGGTTACAGCATGTCGTCGATTCCGATCCTTATCCTACACCAGTGTGTATGGCGCTTTAGCCTAGTCGGTACGCACCTGATGGATTACAAGAGACCGCCTTCGCCCATCATGAATGAGACGATCATTCATCGGTACGCCTTGTCCTTAGTCGACCAGATTTTAAGTCCTTCGATGCTTTTGGCCCTCCTTTTCTTTATCATAATTGAATGGGCCTTGCGATAACTACGAAAGCCCTTCAGGCGCTCCTTGATCAATCAGAAGATGAAATTATCAAGCCGAAACGTATAGCTGCTGTCCAAATTCAAGTTTAACATATACGAAGGTCTTAGGGACGGTGCGTACACTTATCGACAATAACGATTTTCAGCTAATCTATCATGTGTAGTTTTGATCGAGAGATCTTGTAACGGCCGCTAGCACGAAACGTAGTTGCGATCTATACTTACCACAAGAAGATAGAGAAAGAGAAGGAAATCAAGAAGAAGGAGCACTAGCAGAAGATAGGTCCCAAGAGCTCTATTGGGCGAGATCCTCCCCTTCAGTACTGAACCAATGAACGAAGCAGCTTCCATCTCTACAATCATCTGCCGTCCTAGAGAAATTGGGGCATGACGAGCGAGAGAGATTGCGTTACAAATCAGAGCCTCTAGATCACGGTAAGCCAGCCGATCTGTGCCAGGATTGGTGCTATCTAAGACAGCGTGGTCGTCCTCATACCGAAGGATCCTGAAAGTTTACGGATACCTAGACTTACTCTAATAAGCAGTCTCCTTTTGGATCTGCCACAACGAAACGGGATGAACGACTGTATTCAGAAGCCTCAGGTAACGGATAGCATCGCCATGAGATGTGATAACGACATTGGCGTCCAATATCTCTGTAACGACCTGAAGCTTGCAGTCCACCCGCTCGGATGCCACAGCTTGCCATGCTTGCAGAACACGAGGCTCTAGTGGTAGATCCCAAGTACCTCGCCAAGTAATCTTAGCAGTCCGGTCGCTTTCAAATATTTGGTATTGGAAAACACCCGCAAACCCAGCCCTGCCATTCCAGAGCTCCATCGATTTTAGCCGTGGCATCTTCATGGCTACTAGCGCAACCGTTTCAAGAAGATCGTTGATATAGACAGACTGCTGTTGAGATTTTAGAACGTTCGAGGTCAGAGCGAGCGATTCCAGCCTGGGCCAAATGTTCCATTTCTGACATGCATCAAAGAAATGTGAAGCATCTGAAACGAACGATGCTGCGAGATGCTCAAGCCCGAGACTGGCTTCGACAAGGGCGTAACCGGTGTCAATCTCTGCGGCTTGTACTGCTAAGGACATGGCTGGGTTATTGCCATGAAAGTTCTCGAATATCACCATTCGCCTCAATTGATCAGATCTAAGTGACTCGCATAGCCGCATTGTAGCTACAAAGCTTTAGCAGAAATTTATGTCCACAGTAACGTGTCTGGAGCCTTACCTGTATTGGTGGGTCGTTCCTCCATTCGACGCCAGTCTCTCCAAGGTTCGTAATGGATTTCGTGGACCTCAGGAAGAAGGTCTAGAAGCTCTTCGAGTACTTCTGACTTCCAAGGACGGCGATTTTGTCGGCGCAGGAGGAGGCTTGTGACAGCTCTAGCCTTTGGCATTTCTTGGCTGGGTTTGGGCTCGGGCTTGCTAACGTCGGTGGTTTTATTGAATAAATACGCAGCCGCACCCTGGACACTTGTATCGTGGAGCCAATGTGAGCATTGAATGATTTTGGCCTTTTTCGGCTCTGAAATAACACCAGGTCCATATTGGATGGTACTGGAAGAATGCCTCAAGGCGCTTGGAGCCTTGACGCTGATATCAAGTAACAAGCTGCCGCTTGGTTCCCATGTACTCAACTGGATAACAAGATCCTGGATCGCCTTCCTGATAGTTTTGGAAGGAACTTGATGCCAATTATAAATCCCCACGCCTCCGCAATGCGGGCAATGGTTCTCAGAGGGCTCTATGGAAAACCATATAGACTTCACCAAATGCCGATGGCGGTAGCCAATGTCGCTGAAGCCAGCAAGACGTGATCGCGTGACTTTAAGGCAAGCGAAAATCCTTGGCTCGATGATTGTTTGCCATGCTCGACAGATTGAAGCGTAACGAGCGGAATCTTCATGAAGAACAAGGGCTTCTAGGATATGCGTTTGAATCTCTACGGGTAGAGAATCCCAAAACATTTTGCAGGCTGCTGCCCGAGCGGCGGCCCTAATATCTCTAGATTATGTTGAGATTTGTAGTGGACTAAGGAGTAAATCTAGTGCTAGAAAGTTGAGTACAGATATGTGTGTGCTTGCCAAGCCGCTAGTAGAATCACGTGATGTAGAGCTGTTTGCCACATTTTCTAACAGATAATAAGAATTTAATCTTCACCCTACCGGACTCGCTTAGACCCTAAATTTAGCGTCGAAATTTTAATTCAGTGGGCCCGCACTGCCAATTCGAGTTTAGAGATTGTATCCACACCTTGATTAGAGTACGTACTTGATCGTGGCAAGAATTGTCAGAGGCGCTGGGGAAGGGTGGAACCGAAAAGGTCATGATGAAAAATTTTAAACCAACCAACTTTATGTCCTTTGGCGCCAGGAGATTGAGTCGCACTACACAATTGTACTTCATTGAAGTAAGTCATTTGGTTTGCTGTCTCTTGACGCCCTGGATGCATAGCCTTGTACGAGTTAAATATAATACTCTAGGGTTGTCTTAGGTCGAGCGTTAAATGCGGACACGGAAGATGCCTTGGCATCATTCGACCTTCGTGAATTACCGAACACGGTGAGGTGGTTGCGCTAGAGAAATGCTTAATTGAGTAAAGCGTCACTTGACGGAATAACCAATTTTTTTTTAAAACCCCCTCATGTTCTAGTCGGAAGGTGCGTCCTGGCTTTCTTGGTTGGATCCTTAAGATCCTTCGGATCCTTCCTCCATAGAATCTACATCCTCTTCTACCCACACGATCCTTGCTACCTTGTTCTTTGTTCTGTCATCAGTAGTACCCTCACCTCAATTCCATTTGTATTTGTCTTCGACGACATCCAGCACCAGCCATGGATCCCTATATTGATACCATACCGGACGACCACGGCGAAGAAATTAAGAAACGCGTGAGAGAACGAGATGATCCCGATAACGAAGGACGTCCAACAAAGCGTGCGAGAGCAAATACGAGTGCCCTCTTACCACCAGAAGGCGATCGACAGGATATCGAAGAGCCTCTCAAGCCCGAAGACGACCTGGACAAGTACGATCATGAACGCCTTCAGCAGGGGCTGAGATATATTGACGGGGCGGCAAAACGGAAAATCACTCCTCGCACTCAGGAGTTCCTCAAACTTCATAAAGACGCCTATAAGGTTGCTTTAGACGGTGAGGTCCCAGACAAAGCTTCTCGTGCAGTTGTGCAAGCTATGGACAAGGTGTATTTTTCTGCTGCGTTTTATCTCAAGCCACGCTCATCAGAGGAGCATGAACATCTTATGTACTACGTGAAGCTACGACGACTAGAGTTCCTGGCCAACTACGGCGACTATCTCGGACAAGAACTGCAGATTATTCGGGCAGATCTCAATGCAGCAGCCATCGGCGTTGACTCTGAGATACAAAAGGCAGCGCTAGAACTCGGACCATCAAAGACATGGATTACCATCGCAAACGAGCTGGCTGGCACCGACGTTGCTGACCTTCGCAAACATGTGACTATCGCTTGCGCTGTTCTCGGCATCGACTCGGAACACATGTTATGGCTTATCAAAGAATGGGCGGAGAGAAATCGCGTCTTCCGCAGTCAAATCCGTCAATACATTTCAGATTGTCATTGGAACCGCCTCGCCGAGCAAATCTGCCGCGATCTCACGGAATTGCTCAATGTGGCGCCTGATAAAGATACGGCGGCAAAGTACGAGAAGGTCTTACTCAGCATCCAGAATGAATACTTCGATGCCATAAGTCGTGATGACCCTCAGCTTTGGCTATTGAATGAGAAATCCGAGAAGCTAACTCAGGAGAAACTGGGGAGGGAGAAGAAGCGGGCTCAGAAATAAAGAATCCACGTCACAAACAAGAGGATCCGTGCGCCGCGAGGTATGGTGGAGGTTGGCCCTGTCTTCTTCATCTGATGACAGCAACAACAGCCCCATACGTCGCCGTGACTCCGGTCTCCCAGTGTTGGCATTGCCGAAACTGGAGGAGGTTAGGCTGAATATCTCCTCTCAATGGTGGAATAGACATATAGGTCTTGATAGAAAAACATGTTTCTTACCCGATCCAACAGGTACCATAAAGATGCAGTATCACCCTCCTTTGTACTACTAGCTCAAAATCCTACCATGTTAAGCCTAAGGGGCCATGTAATTCTAGCATCCTATACATACAAGATGATTTATATATAATTACGTAATTGGAATATATCTGTCTAAAGCTCTAATTACGAGGTATACCCTTGAGAATACTCTATATATCGATTGTACTTGGAGAGAATGAAGTTCGACTTCAATTGACGTCTAAATTGTTTATTGATTAAGGCGGCCAAGTAGGAAAAGGTGCAATAAGCAAATGGATTTTGGGAAGACAGATGGGTCAAAATGAGACTGCAGTTCAGCTATATCCCAGACGAGCGAGTACGATGTAAGTATACAATGGAAATAAGCTGTGTGCAGGCGAGCAGTAAAGTGGAGATCGCATTGCTGCCAAGACTCTAAGATTAGATAAAGTAAGATCCGGGGCACTAGAAGCACTAGTACCAGCCATCCGAAAGTAAGCCCGAGATTGGCTATTCGAGATCAGCCTATGTGTTCAGTCGTAGACCACATCAGCATCATCACGAATATACACGTCCATACACATATGAAGGCCATCCGGTGACGTGCCATTCCGAAGAGGCAGCCCTGAGCATGCCGGCCTACCTGGCCACTGATGGCGACGCAGAGCGTAGCGATGGCCGCTCAACCAGCCCTAATTCATACCATGGGTCACGGTATGCTCTCACTGACCTGTCGCGCTCTACAATGTGAAGATGGACAAGCTGACAGGTCGTAGTCCACGCTCCGCTCGAGGAAGAAAAGAGGTGGGTATGATCGGTCAAGCCAGCTGGATCAGCAGCGTTATCAATCTGGTCAATACAAGTATGCGCAGACAAGAGATGTACGGTGTAAAGGGGCTCACATTGGCGCAGTCGTCGGTGCCGGTATCCTCGCCATGCCCCTGGCCCTCTCACGTATGGGAATACTACTCGGCACCATCATCATCCTATGGGCAGGCCTGACCGCAGGCTTTGGTCTCTACCTTCAAACGAAATGCGCCAGATACCTAGACCGCGGCGCTGCTTCCTTCTTCGCTCTCTCGCAAATCACATATCCAAATGCAGCCGTTATATTCGACGCGGCCATTGCGATCAAATGTTTTGGTGTCGGGGTTAGCTATCTTATAATCATTGGGGATTTGATGCCAGGTGTGGTCCGAGGTTTCAATGAAGACGCTGGGGGCGTTGGGTTCCTGGTCGATAGACATTTTTGGGTTACTGCGTTTATGTGAGCACTGCGATGATCCTTGCTTGCGGCATTAAGCCATGGCTAACCGATTCGGAACCAGGCTTATTGTTATACCCCTATCATTCTTGCGGCGTTTGGACTCTCTTAAATATACGAGTGTGGTGGCTTTGATATCGATTGGGTATCTGGTCATACTGGTTGTCGCCCATTTCATCAAAGGGGATACCAAGCAGGATAGAGGCGATATCAGAGTGGTCCAACCGCCGAGCGCAGTCGCGGTCTTCAGCAGCTTTCCTGTTATTGTCTTCGCATATACATGTCATCAAAATGTGCGTCCATCGGCCTTTCGCCTCGGCTCCATGTACTGACAGGTCCCTCAGATGTTCTCAATACTGAACGAGATTGGCAATAATTCGCATTTCAGGACCACCGCCGTGGTCTTTGCCAGCATAGGTGCTGCAGGGTTCCTGTATGTACTTGTTGCTATTACTGGGTATCTCTCCTTCGGTAATGCAGTGGGAGGCAATGTTGTTGCAATGTGTAAGCTCCTATTCCCTTTTCTTTTCTAATAATTGGGTATCTGACAACTTAACAGACCCGCCATCAATATCCTCAACCATCGGCAAAGCCGCCATCGTCATTCTCGTCATGTTCTCCTACCCTCTCCAGGTCCACCCATGCAGGGCCTCCGTCGACGCAGTACTCAAATGGCGGCCGAGAAGGAGTGCCGACTCCGCAAATAGTTCTCCATCCAGATCTGGTCTCTTGCAGCCACCTGCTAAACCGTCCACTAAGCCCAAAGGCGATGGCATGGGCGAAACACGTTTCGCAGCCATCACTACAGCCATCATCGTTCTCAGCTACATAGTGGCCATGACAGTTTCATCACTTGAAAAGGTGCTCGCGTACGTGGGAAGCACCGGAAGTACCAGTATCAGTTTCATCCTTCCTGGATTGTTCTACTACAAAATATCCTCGCCTGAGTCGCCACATCACCAAAAGCTGATGAAAGAAGATGACGATGAGGACGATGGGTCTGGTAGTGAGGATGAGGGTCTCCTTGGCGGAAGTATGTTGAAGGGCGGACCATGGCGGAGAAAGTTGCTGCGGCGGCTTAGTCTTGCGCTTGCGATTTATGGGTTCATTGTCATGATCACTTGTCTAATCACGAACACGCTGTTCGTGGTTGCGCCTCATTGATAGCGAAGAGTCATAGATCTATAGCCATATAATTTCGCGAATAGACTTCTCATACCCCTAGCTCCTGCGTGCTCTTGAGCTATGTCGTCTGTAATCCAAAGCTATATTTGTACAGTATCATAGTACCGTCTCCGCCGCCGGGGTGAATCTGTGCCCCGAATGGTGTAAGCAGCCGACTACCATTCGCCAAAGTCATCAGATGCCCGCAAAACACCGTTTCATGCATTTCCTGTTAAACCTAATCCAGCTCGTCCTCATCAACCCCCTAATGTTATCGTCCCTCCGAGGCATCCGCAGCCTCCTCCTTCCGCGCCGCCCTCTGTTCCGCCTCCGCCTGCTGCATCTTTTGTATACTGTATTTCGGCTCCATCAAACCAATCTACCCTTTTCATCAGCTATTTCGTTCTCACTCTGCCCATCAATTCCATCGTCCCCTAATCTTCTCTTCTCCAGCGTCGGGCACCACTCCTGCAATTCGTTCACCTGCCCTTCCTTCCCTCCCTCCCACCTCTTACGTCCTCTCTCTCCATCCACCGGAAATTCACCCAAACGTAACGTACCATACTCAACAACCTCCACATCGGCTCGCTCGGCTGCGCGCCCACTCCCAACCAGTATTTCGCCCTCGCCGTATCCATCTTTATATCTTTGAACGGTTTGCCCTCGCCCTGGGGGGCGGGTTTCGGGATCGGGTCGTAGGTGCCGAGGACTTCGAGGGGTTTGGAGTTGCGGGCGGTTCTGGGGGTCGGGGAAAGCGGGGGTTAGCGGGGTTTGCGGATGGGTGGAATCGAGGGGGGAGGAGGTTGGGGGTGGAGATGGGTTGAGGGGAAGGGGGAAGGAGGGTTTGGCGTACCGGGCTTGCGCGACGACGATGTTGTAGAAGGGGGCGTTGCGTTTGCCGAAGCGGGCGAGGCGGATTTTGAGGACCATTGCTGGTTGAGCGGAGATGTAGAGAGGGTGTGAGCTTCGCGGAGACTTTGATTGGAAAGCTTGCTTTCTTTAATGCTCAATCATCGTTGGTACCTTACCTCAAATCTAGTGCCAAGCCACTAGATTTCCAATATCAAGCGCCCTATTCATTGAAGTCACTTTATATACACTTTAAAGGCTTCCACTTCTACAATTATTTGCCTTCCTGTGACACATCTTGCCTCTATTCCATTTTCGCTGATTTGCCTGCTCACTAGCTTCAATTACACAATTTCCATAGCTCCCCTGGACGCCTGGCACCTTGTTGTAGGTCATTGCTTCTGTACCGACACTTTCCACCATGCCCGGACCAAAGCCACCGAAAGCAGTATCTCCCCGCTTGGAGCAACGGCATCCTGCTTCGACACTAGCCCTTGATATGCCAGAGCCAACGCTCGCGCTCGCGCCCAAGTAATCGGCACATCCTGAGCTTGTGCGATGGTACGAAGCGTCCCTTGAGCTTAGGATTGATGCGTACTTAGAGAATCATACGGATCTGACTTGGGTCACTACTACAATGCTAACAGACCGTAAGCCAAATCCACTTGTGGTCATTGGAGCGGAGGACGAGAACGAAACTGGGTGGGTTGACTTCAGGCGACGGATCGAGCCTCTACTAGGCTCTGCACCATGTGACATCGATCTGACGATTGAAACCGAAACTCTTAAAGAGCTATCAGGAGCTGTTTATGATTCAAAGCAACCAGTCGACGAAGACGCCTCTACCGTACCGTGAGTACGTCCACGACCTGGTGCAGGGAGGCTGGGACATCTTGAAGCCTCGGACGAATACATGAGCGTGGATATCGAGGATCAAGAGATAGTCGTATCGATACTGGAAATCACAGACACTTCCCGCCTTGAGCGTCGGCCGGATATACACGATGGGCTTGCGCTCAAGAAATTCTGGGATGAGGGGAAGCCTGCCAACGTGAAGGTTCGAACGTATATGGCTGAGCAGGGGGGCGACTTGGCGGCAGGCGTAATGGCGGCGCTGGGGAGCTCGTTGGATCTGGATCCGAGACTCTTCCAGTCCGGCTTACGTGGGCATAAGCGTGTTCTTGCGCCGTCGGATCATCATAGGGCACCGTTCACGAGCATAAAGTTTGGAGTGCCGAAGCTCTCGACGCCTTTGATGACGGATGCTGAGAAGTTTAAGGTTACGTTTTATGTCAAGCCTGATGATGATGTTGGGTAGGTGTCAGCATTACAAGCAGTTCAAATGCACCCATCAGCTGGTGATGGATGGAATGGGTTGTCTGACTCTTCCTTGATCATCTGTGTATTATTTGATTCATCTTTTGTAGCCTGTGACACCGACAAACATCCCAAACATAGTTGTCACGAACCAGCATACTAAGCGATCTTTAGGGATCGTCCTCTTTACCTCTCACGCCAAGATCAATCTCTCCTCCGCGAACCTCATCCCATCCCCCAGCTTCACGCCCTCCCCCGCCCGCAGCCTACAGCCCAAACACCAAAACCTTCCGCGAGCTCTATCTAGAAACCTTTTCGTACCCCGACCTCCAAACCGTAACCAGTTCCCCCTTCTTCACAATTTCTCCTCTCCTCCGCCTCAACTGCTTCTGCTGGGGCCGCGTCATAACGAGCATAGATGATAAAGATCGGCGCATCAATGGCGTATCCGACACCACGGTCGGACATGCAGAGGGCATCAAGAAGTCGCTGTCGTTGGTGCAGAGGGGTGGGAGTTTAGGGTGGAAGGGTGAAGATGTTAGACTGGTAAAGGAGACGAAGAATGCGTTGGAGGAGGACTTCAAGCGTGTGGTGCGGGAGACGGAGTTATTGTGGGAGACAAGGGAGAAGATGGCGAGCAATCGTCGGTAGAAGGCGGAGAGGAGGTGGAGCGCGCTGATGAATACTTTTACTTATGTGTACGTTCCTCCACTTGATTCTTACCCCTCATCACGTGGGGGCCTTGTCGAGTAAATACTAAGGCAATCGACATACCAGGTTTGCGCCTATCACCATCATTAGTGGTATCTACGGTATGAACGTTAGTGAGATTAGCACCAGCATCAGTAACCCAAACATCTGGCAATTTTCCGTCGCGGTCGTGGGTTTGAACGTGGTCGTCATGCTAGCGCTGGCGATTTCTAATCGGCTGCACATCATCACCAAGCATGGCAGGACCGCGCGCGCGAAGGAAGTGCTCAAATTCGCTGCGCTGTGGGGAAGGATGGGAGATGGATACTCTCGGAAAAGTCCTGTACGATGCATGTGTTTCACCGATATGGATTTACTACAGCATAGGATCGACCAAGTTACTGGATCTTAATGGAATCCATGATCGCGGTGCGTGGTGCCCGGTGCTTAACTTGTAGGGATGGCCGTTTCGACACTGACCCTTCAACAGCAACAATGTCACACTGGTGATGGCATGACTTGCTCGGAAATGTCACCACGGGTTGTGGTATAGCAAAGAGCCGTTCTGATCGAGCCATCCCGCCTTTGCGCACCCGTTGCGGTTATGCTCCCAGTCCGATTGTCATCCCATCGGCACCGTCTGGTAATTGAAAGGCGTGCTAGGTTCGTAGAAGTGACCACTGGGCTCACCTTCCCCCCCCGCCTCTTCAGTGGAAATCCCGTCGATCTCGTGCGTCTGAGCGTCTCCTCCGCGTGCTCCTTCCTCCGCGAACTCAATCTCGTCTTCGACGCCCGGTTCGATCCGATCCCGATAGCCACTCGCAGTGCTCATCTTCGCAGGCGGGAAGCGAGGAGGTCGGGATCTCGGGGGATGCGATGGCGTCGGATTGTAGAGCGGTAGGGGAAATGTGCAACCTAGGGGGTGATTTCTGTCCGGAATTGCAAATTATACGGGGCGGGCGCTCAATCCGTAATTCACTCCTTGGAACCGCCAGATTGAACGAGAGTAAAGTATAGAGCTTTCGATGAGGAGTGACCATATTCTTCTCAACAGCGACCGGCCTTTCTCGTCGCAATCTGTAGGTCATGCTTTATCAGAAGCGAATAATCCAACCAGCGCATCGACATCTCCTCCTTCGATAATCTCGACAACATCCGAGGATCTGGGAATGATATCGTAGACTGTAAGCATTATTTTTGACTGAGATGAAGAGCCGCGGTCGACGTTGATGCACTTTTCGCGCTGGCCCGGCTCCTTCAAGATGGCGTGATTTGAAGCAGCAGATAGGACTCTCCGGATCCTTTTCAGCCCATGCCCGGCAAACTACCCGTTTGTAGCATCGTCACATAGCCCAGTCTCGTGTACGTTACGCTTTGGAGTAGGAAGTTGATGGCGATGGATACTTCTTCTGTGTTGCGTCTCAATGGGGCGCAGGCAGGATCAGCTCCGAGTTGTCGATGATGGACTGCGCTTGTTCGGATGGGACGAAGTTTGGCTTGCTGGTCGTACGATGACATAGCCTAGCAATTTCCCTCAGTTCGGCAGCGAGGCCGAGTTGCCTAGTACGCTTCTATGGACTAAGAGGCAGCGTTGTCAACTTTGCTTCGAAATTCTAGACATCATCGACACAGTCTCGTACGGCCTTCTTCAGTCGAATTAGCACATCGAGACCTGCATCAACGATGTCTAATTGATGTCTCATTAGGAACTCTGCGACCTCCTGTTTATAAAGCCTCGTGCACAGCATCAAGCTGCGCCGTGAGTCGACGCATACTGTACGGAGCATGGTCCGCTGGCACACTCTGTAGCCCCCAGGGCGACGAGACACTGGCGGTAGCGGGTAGCTCGTCCGTGATGGATGCTCAAGTGGCTTGGAGGAGAGATGTAGGTAGGGATTCCGAGGCGGTGGTGACACCACGGCAGTGAGTCGCTGAGGCTCCTGTAGGTTAGCTTCGGAGCTTTGTATGCATCGTGCATATTGCGGGGATTTTGAGGACCCTCGCAGGGTTCTCGTATTTTAATGATTGAATTGAAATGCCCTGGTGCTCCATGTTCTTTTCTGCCTTTGATTCGAACGCCGAGTCCCCGTACTGAGGAGGGAGTCTTTCCGTTCTCAATGGTCCTTCACAATTTTCAGATCAATGCAATTGCCCGGCAAGTCATACTCGACCGCTTGGCTCTGGATGTCCCGGCCGGAAAGTTGATCGGAACGATATATTTCGTGGGACACAGAAGTATGTTGAGACCTGGGGCCCAATTTCGCTCAGACATAGCTGGGGAGGATAGAAAGGATAGATATGGCAAAATTTCCAGTTGAGAGTGCCGCAGGAAAGCCTTGTGGTCTTTGCGGCCTGATGGAACTATTCGATATGTACATCAAGTTACCATCTGAAGGCAACAGTCTTGGAAGGTGCGGTACGATGCCACTGTCCGCATGAGTGCGCTCGATCTCTCATCTCAGCCGCCAGCTTCGGCTCGAGACGATCCAAACCTGCGGGTCAGCAGCCTCAGCAATGACAGTGCGGCGTGGCCAATGATTGAAGTTCCAGCGATGGCCAAGTTTATCGCTATAATTGGGACGGCTGACCGCTCGCGGCGTGCAGAGCGTAGCTTCGTCCTTCGCCGCTGGCTTTCAATTTCTTGAAGTCGGCGAAGGGCATTGATACGAAGAAGCATCGGTGACAGGTGACAGGTCATCAGGGCGTGTAGCCTCCCTGGCCACCATCCCTTCCGCTGCTTCAGCGCGCTCCACAATTCAGCGACTACACACCGGGCTCAGTAAATTCCCTTTCGCTGACTCCACATTCGGCTCCACTCACGCGTCCCCTTTCAGCTTTTCCCTCGCCCCTTTCGATCCCAAGGGCATTCGCCCGTCCGATCTCTCTCCTCCCCATACAGCCTCGCGTACTCCAGCAGAATCCTGAACGTTGCGATTCTCATATCGACAACCCTCCATGCCTGGCCCACCCATTCCCTTCCGGCCTCTGCAATCTCTTTCGCGATTACCTGCCCCTCTGGCGTCTCTGCTAGAAATCTCAGTGTTTCGGGCAGCTCTTTCATACCCAAGGTGATAGGCACGTAGTGCACCCACGGTTCCAGGAAATCGTTGTGCCACTCCTAGATCATTATGTTAGCAAGACCAAGGCTAAGCGCACTTGTTGAGGATGAAGAATCACCTGAAACATAGTCATCTTGAACACCAAGCTCCTCGAGCTGAGCAAGCGCCGAAAGCGTTCTGTGAATGTGTGGCCATCAACGTCCATCAGGAATCGATTGGCGTAAGGCTCCGTGGCAGGTTCCTTTCCCTTCCAGACAACACCGTTCTCTGGATCTCTCATCTCCTCGCAAGTTTTTTCAGCGCACATATCTTGCAACGTGAACTTCACGTCTGCATATTTCGACAGGCTTCCCATGGTATCATTGTGCGCTTTCCAACGACCGGATTTCTCGTCCCGACGCATGAGGGCGACGGGCAGGCTTGGGTTATTCATATTCTTCACGAAGCGAACTCTCTGCATGTTTTTCCAGTTGCTATCTTGATAATAGCCATCGATGGATGTCCCGGCCCAGTAGAGATGGTTCTTTTTCTCCTCCCATGGCATGTCTTCGTCTGGATTGTATTCTTTGTAAGTGCCTTCACTGAGTCGTGAGTCGTAGTCCACGGCGGGTAGGAGCAGGTCTTGGAAGGAGGATGCTTTGGACTTTGTGAAAACAGGTACGAGGGAATTGGTCAGGACGAAACCATCAGGTGAAGTGAAAAAGCCGTGTAGCGAAGCGGCATCGGTCTCCTCGCAGATGTCTTTGGCGCGCGTAATGTTTTGAATGAAGAGAGGCCCGTCGGTATAATCGGCGCTCTTATCGGGCTCTGATGATTTACGTGAACGGCTTGCAGAGTCCAGAGGGCATGATTCGATCACACGGTCCCACGTCCTGTGTCTGCGGAGAAAATCGAAATAGACGACTTCAGGGTCATGCATTTCAGCTTGCTCCTTTGGCTTGCCAATCTCGTGTTTCTGTGGGGCTGGGCATCCTTCAAGACTTCTTTCCAGCTCGTCGCGGGGAACCACTACCTCGGGCTCATCATGCGAATTAAAAGCGATCTCCATATTAGGAAGGTGGTCCATATGATGCTCGATCCAATCCTTGAGAATCAGGCCATACCATGGACGATTCATGTTACCATTGTAAGTGAGTGAGACATTCTGGTCCTTGAGGTGAACTCCGATTATAGGCGTCTTCCCTACTGGGGGAGAAATCGCTTCCTGCACCCTGGCCCGGATCTCTTTACCAGATACGCTCCAAAAGGGCTCGAAAGCTGCCATGACCGTGTCATATTCATCAACGATTGGGACGTTGGCGTCGACGGCAGCTTTGTACCAGTGGTGGAATCCTGGCGGAGGTTCTCTACTGTATCTTCTCTTGTACTCGGTAACGGCCTGGTCTAAAGTCTTGGACTGCCTGTTGACCATGTTGACATGTTTCACCCTTGCATGTTCGACAAGCAGCTCGATTGGATGTTTTTTGCTGCCCGTAAGGCCGAGGAGTCCATTCTGTTTAGATGGTGCCGACCCCGCGGTTCCCAGTGGAGATAAAGCGCCTGAGTTCCGCACATGGTAGAAATATAGAATACTTATGAGACCGAAGAATATGAATAGCTTCGAGCACAGAGACATGGATGCCATACCGGGATAGTGGTAGAAGCAGACAAGGAGAGGAGAAGAATGAGAAAATCGCAAGGACAGAAGTCGTTGTTGAGGCACGAGAGGGCGGGAGATTATCGAATCATTTCATCGGCACGTCGGTCAACCCTGTAATTACTTGTAGGAGATGCCGCGTGTTTCCCGTGTCTCCCGCAGACTAGTCGTGCTTGGCAAACGACAGTCCAATAGTACGAGACTTCCCACGTGTTTCACGTTGCCTTCTCACATTGCGACACTCAGGGGTTGAGGCTATGAGTTCTGGTAACTGTATCTATACAGTATTCGTATGCAGGACGGCTTATTGGCGGTTATTTTACTTGGTAATAGTACCACACTACTCAGAGATTCAGGCTACGTCATATTTCTTACACAGTTCTATTCAATCAACGGTAGTAGAATAGTTTCTAATAAATTAACGAGTAGGTACACGCATCATATAAAGTACGTTACCAAGTAAAACCCGAGATCTTAATGGGATACTGCCACACCTTAGAAATAATCTTACTACCAAGTCAAATACTCGAAAGTACTACTTGTATACAGAGAAGATCATCAACGCGCTTAGATATCTGACTTCAAACATAATCGATTCAGATAATTTTCTCGCGGGGGTAACCTCGGGCTCACAGCTCGGCAGGGGTGAAAAAAAGTTCGGCAGGGGTGAGTAGATGCTAAGTATATGCACCTCACCGGGGTGAAAAGGATACACTCAGCATATGCTAATACCTCATCGGGGGTGAAAAAAAAAAATTCAGTCTAGTGATTTTTATATATATGAGATAATCGTTACACATAGGATATGCGGAGCTGATGCTTAGTATATGCAGATTTATTTAATAATTTATCTATTATAACTATTAATAGTAGAGAATTACTTCTTTTAGTAGTTAGAAATTTAGAAGTCAATAGCATATGCCTAGTATATGCCTTGTTCCCCCTAAAGTGCCGATATCATTTTAGACTCGGCCCGAGTTCATCCGAGGTGAAACGGATACGTTCAGCATATGCTATGAGTTCATCCGGGGTGAAGCGAGCATATGCCGAAGCTTCACCCCTGCCGAACTTTTTTTCACCCCTGCCGAGCTGTAACCCGGGTAACCTCTGCGATACTTAGCCTACAGAGTGTGAAGA